ACTCGAGGGCATCATATGATGATATCCGAAATGGAGGTATTGTAGTGCAACATTCCGGGTCATCCAGTCTTTGTTGCAACCTAACGAACCCATGTCATTCACATCACGTTACAAGTAGCTGAAATATTAGTGCTGGTGTGGACATTCAGCATCAATTTATCATTATATGGCGCGCCCGCATGTCTCAGTAATCTGCCCCTTAGGGAACTCGACTCACACATCATCATAATTCTCGAGGGATGTTTCTGATCAGCATTCCGAGTGCGGATCATGGATTCAACCCAACGAATATTTGATGTGTTGTGCGCTCCGCCGTATTTTGGCTATCTGCTTTAGTAATATGCACACTGCCTCTTACTTACTTCGCAGGATTTTGCCAAATACTTAATACCCGAGTGACAGAGTTGACGTTCGCCTGCCATAGATTCCAGCGGCTATTTAATATGTCCAAAAGTAATCTGCTGTAGTTTTCATACCCGCTACCTGATATTGGAATTGAAACAGGTGTGCGCATTATATACGTCATGTACTAATTTCACAGATCCACTAATGACTATTGTCACAATTCCAGCACTGCAGTCTACGAGAATCGTTAAGTACTTTCTGTTTTTGAAGTGAGAAAAGGCCCGTACGATACAGATAAATGGACGAAAGTCTCCCTAGTGGCCACAGACATAGATCTATTGTGACCATTGTTTTCGAGGAAGCAGATGGCTAGTGTGGCAGATGAACGATTGCAATGGCTATTTTTGGTGTTGAGAACCCGCATTGCAGTCCCGTAAAGGATAGCCCGCTTGCAAGTGACAGAGTAACCAGCCGGTCTCAAGGGTGCGTCTGATTAGAGAATGTTACCAGCTCAGGGTGCAGTGTGGAATGTTGGTACGTTCATCAGACAAGCAAACCACCCAGTCCGGGGAAAAGCATAAACCCCCCGAGTACGCGATTACCTTAAGTGGGCGAAATTAAAGTAAGAGCGATGGTCTTGGACATAGAAGCAAAATACAGTAGAAACGAAAATTACCCGGCCACTGACCTTATCCGTTTGACTGTTCATTCAGCGCAGCATGTAAGTGATTTCGCATACTCTAGTTGAACTGAAATCAATTATTCACATTACTCGCAGAAACAGCGAAGTGACGGAGGTCAGAGTTGATTGAAGACGCCTGCTACAATCATCGTTGTTCACAGGGATCCAAAAAGCCATCAGCAGTTTCGCTTACAAAGTAACAAATGTTTCAAACGATAAGGTTGTATCCACAGTAAAGCGGATCCTGTATATCCGTTTGGCAGCATCTAAGTCCGCTTTCGCCGCTGCTTCAATGTCCGAGGTCTGCACTAGTGAAGCGCAGACTTCCGTTGTCCATACATGTAAATGCCAGTGGCTCGAAATCAGTCTTGAGATTAAACTGACCACTCCCTTTCTGTTTCCGAATCAATGCACAATAACGAGGAAGATTTTTCGAAAGTGCTTGAAGCGCGGTCCGACTTTTATCCCATGCGCTGCGTCAGTGACCGTGATATTAGTGATTCCCCAACTGGTAGATTGCTGCCGTTTATCACATGAGCACCACTCAAGACCCGCGAAGTCAAGGGCAGAGTAGGTGTAAAACACCGGAAAAGTGTCCCCATACTAACAAGTCTGTTCAGAAATACCTCGAGTTAATTCCACAAGTTGCCGAGGTAATCGTTGGTGGATTTTGTATGTGTTACCCGACATGTTTTGTACTCATGGGCGATTTGGACAGTGTCGCAGCTTTCGGTGTTGCCTGCCTAAAAGCTGAATTTCCTCCGTATGCCCATGTCAATCCACACGATTGCCCCAATCGAGGGGTGATAGTAAACAGAGAATCGATGCAGTGTCCCCATCAGTGAAAGCTTCCTAAGAGGAATGCGCTTGATCTAACTTGCACCCGTTCGATTCCTGGACGGGACTCCACGCGCCCGTTTGAGTGCTCAATGCATTCTGACCTTGGCTTTGAGGTTAGACGTATGTATCGTTCCCGGCGAGACCGTTTGATTTCAAGCTTCGCATCGCCACCTGCTATGGAAAATGTCACAATTTGGCACCATATACCCTTTGCATGTTTGGTTTAAATCATATCTTACTGATCGCACTCAACAAGTGTAAATAGGTATTCATAGGTCATCATCGCTGCCTGTTACTAGCGGTTTGATCCAAGGAATTGTCCTTGGTCCGCTGCTATTCTTGATGTACATTAATGACATAACAGAAAGTATTAAAATAGTACAGCCTACCATTGTGCACAAGACATTAAGGTGAATTACACTTTTGATCCTAGAAATCTGGAACACACTTTGGATAAGATCCGTGGTGATTTATTAGCTCTCGAAAGATGGTGTAACAACTGGCAAATGCCATTCGTGGTGGATAAATGCGGGATCTTAGCATATCGATGCAATTTAGATGCGGAGATCCTTTACCTGTGGATAACCAATTCCATTCCGCAACAAAATAAGACTTAGGTATTCATTATTCAAGCATCCTCAATTTTGGGTAGCAGATCGAATTCCTAGCAGCCAAAGCTCGCCAAACAGCGCGGTTAATTTTCAAATTACTGATATTGTGAGATTCCAAGCTGTATATGTTCAAAATCTGCGTCCGCCCTCTTTTGGAATACTGTCCAATGATATGTACTGGTTGTAGGACACGTGAGCGTCTATGCTTGGAGAATGTGCAGCGTCAATTCACCAAAGCCCTATTTACCTGGTCTCCAACACCAAACTATTCAGAACGCTGTATTCTGCATAAATTAGAGCCGTTGTTACAAAGGTTGAAACTGGCCTAAAGTTTCTATTCGACTTAGTGAACAAACGAGTATTTGCCCCGCACACTAGTATACACTCCATTCGGAATTGAAGGCACAACATTTGGAAGAAGAGAAAATCGCTTCTCACAAGTAGAACAAAAACGAGTGTACGGTGGAAGTTTTATCTGACCAAGTAGTACTCGGAGATTTGGAACAGACTATCTACTGAACTGCGACTATGTGAGTCTAAACAATCGTTTGGAAAAATGCTGGATACGTACCTCACTGTGTTCCAAGTCAAAGAAGTTATGAAACTGCACGGCAGAGTGGAGTCAATACATGGAGAAGAGGTTGAAGTATAGCTGTAAGGGACAAGTGCACGATAATATGTGCAGACTATCTGGATAATATCTTCTTTAAGCTTATTTCCATCCCAAAACCACGTTATCCCGCTTTTCGCCATGTGAAACGAATGTTTTTCTCTACATTTGATGCGCACTGCTAATTGTTATTACTACTTTTCCAGAGAAAACGACTCAACTACCTGTGGTAGTTCTTGATGCTCTGTGAAGTCCATGTTCGGCACGAATTACTTTACAATTCGATTGTCTGGAGTCGCTGGATCTCTCTCAAAATCGTTCACAGAGCCATCTTTTCCATATTTTTATGTTCTCTATGTATTCCCTATTTACAATCTGAAGCAAAACTTGTCGGATATATATCACCCACTTATCATTATTTGTGTTTCACCATCTATATTTCTTTTCCATTGTTGACTACGACTGGGTCGATCTCCCGAGGTGATGGAATGAAGTTTCCGGACTATTTAATACAACCATGTGTGGCGAATTGTCACAGACCTATTGGTGAGTAGACATATGCCTACTCAAGGTAACTTGACACACACGCGTCGAGTGGAAAAGGTGTCAAACTTAAGAGTCAGAAGCCGAAATGGGCTGAATGGCCTAAAAGAGTAGTAAAAGAAACGAAAAACATGAGAGCTCACTTATCTTTGCGAGCCTATTACTCATTATATATAAGAACGGCCATAAAAGAGCTAGTATGGTGATGGCTCGCTTGCTGTTGCGCCACACCGACACGAAGTCAAATGGAACGTGGCAGTGCGGATGAAAGATATCGAGGAAATACCCCGCATGGAAGCAGATCCCCAGGAGTCGGTTCCACGGTCAGCCGTATTAATTAAATTGTGCTTTTTTCAATAACCACTTTCGTCCTGCTTTTAAACTCGGCTTCTTTTTACCATTTCTACCAATTTAACTCTCCATAAACCTGATTCCGGACTCTTCCGGAAAATCTGAAATAACATGTGCATTTTGAGATCATGTTTACAATATGATCAGTTCAAGTAGTTGGCCTGTAACTCGCACATTCGAGAAAGATACATTCACATTTCCCTTGTTTAGAGCTGGCTGCACTCTCTGAAAGCAATCATTCCGTGGATGCCTTTTGCAAGGGAATCCCCACTGTCATCGCGGAACTCAGACCCTATCACGTGTCGTTGCTCAAGCCCAAGTTTGCTTTGCCAACTTCTCAATTATGGTCATTTCTATCATATTAACGCGGACACCCGGTCTGCCTTGCGCGGTCTCATAAGCGAACTGGACACTGATAGGGATATTTCGCACATGGTAACACTAAGCCATTAGCACTGCCTCGCATGACACGTCCATGCCCACCTTAAGCCCTCAGCAGTCTACTCCCTATGTGGACCCGGCAAAACATCCGGCGTGCATTAGAGCTATGTATCCAAAAACTCCATGGAATTGCTATGGAGTGACGGCCTACAACTCTCTGGTTCCTACTGCTTCACCCTAGCTTTTCTTTTCGAACGCTGCTCGCGTATCTGGGATTCCATGCACATCCAAACTCATACCCTCAGCTGTTGGACTTTGCAACCGCATGGTATTCGTCGAAAGACCGGCTCCTCCGGTCGATGAAACTTCCACCTCCTCGTTAAGACAACCTCCTGCCTTCCTTTCCATCGCAAAGCTATATCTGAAAAGCGACTGGTTGATCGAGCAGATATTAATAGAGGCTGCTCCCAAAATACTTGCTTTGAAATTGAATCTGGTTGATGAGTGCGAGGAAGATCAGCCATGCATCATGTCGGTCTACTAAGGCTATCAAGACATAGCTGTTTTCTTTGAATCTTCAAATGAGTAGCACTCCAGTGATGGCTGCTCCCACCCAAAACGCCCACGAATATCCTGTATGAGTAACCCCAATGATCAGTATGACGCCGAAGACACATCAAAGCGAGCAAAATGCTGTGGCATGGAACGTGAATCATTTTCTCCTGATATTCCGCTAGATAGCGGCATTTTTTATTCATGCGAAAATGATCCCCAAGGTGCTGTTCCAAACGATCTACCTGGATGTCCTTTTTCATTTGGTGGTTGCAACACAAACTCCTTACCATACGGAATTCTTGGTCTGATGGTCCATAAAGGAGTGAGCCTAGCTAGCAACACTGGCTCTGGGCACGTGGGACCTGCTGAGTTGGACTTGATGCTCGCCAAAGTTGAGTTTGTCATAACTGTTCACAGTCCGTAACCCGTAGCGTAGCATCCTGATGCCAACCGTCATGCACATCGCTAGAACTCACTTGTAACTCGACGAAACGGTAGGGGACGCAAAACAGGCCCACTTATTCAATGGTCTGTAGCTTCGCTCCCAGTTGAAAGTGTCACCAGATCTTCAAAACTTCCTAAAGAAGCTGCAGGCGATGAACGGTTAGCCGGATTTAGTCCACCTGTTCTCTGCTGAATAACAGTCTTGATGTAGCTATCCGCTCTAGTGAAGAAGCGATCGATCGACGTGATGCGCTGCGCATGCACGCTGCGGGTAGACTATCGTTCATATCGGAAATGGTGAGCGAATCGGTCGCTCGTTCATTTCCTACATGACCATGGACCATTCACGCGTCGGCTAATCGATCGTGTGAGGGAGGTGACCATACAAGTCGAGCAAGCCATATTTGACATCCAATCATGAACTGTTTAGAATTTGTGCAGACCATCTGCGCATTTGTGCAGGACTATACGTGCAATACCGCTATGTTCAAAAAGAAACCGAACTTTTTAGATGGCGCGACAACCGACAGGCGGAGCGCGCTGCGGCTACTGAGTGCACGTAGGGGCTCGTTTAGACGACGAGTTGCCATTTGCCGCATTTCGCTCTTGCCGTTAGTTGGCGATCAACAGCCACTGAAGTGAGAACGTGCACAAGCTGTTTATCGAACCAGTGTCAAAATGATGGGTGTGAAATTCTGCTACAAACTTGACAAAACTTTTGCAGTCATCTCCATAGCTCAGCCAAGCATACGGGAAGGACTGTATGGGTCGCACGCAGTGCTAGAAGCGATTTGAGCGTGTTGAACACGGTAGAATGTCGGTCGGTGGGGGATTCCAAGCCTCAGCAACCTCCCACATCAACAGACGAGGATCACTTGGAGAGTTCGCGTTGTGATCCGTGGAAACTGTCTACTAACTACTGAAGAAGTTACTGACAAAATTTGGATGCTTAATGTCAGTGCGCAACTCGTGCTGCGATTTTGGTTGCCGACAAAAATACAGAACCATGTTGGAATCAGTTAGGAACTGCTTGCCACTGCCAATGAAAACCTCTTAAGAACACCGTATATATTATACACAATCTGTGGTACAGATATTGTGTCATCGGAATCATGGCTGAATAGGAAAACAATATGAATAATAAGAAAAGAGCAACAACAAATGCTTTTTTGTCTATTTTACCACTCACAGTTTTTGAAATTTTTTTCAGTTTGTTCTTTTTTATGGGGAGGAAGAAGGGACACCGCAACAAACCGATTCACACGCCTGCCATTGACATCGATCTTGAGCCATGGCTTCCAAGCTCTTCAACCAGCAAGTATCCCCAACCAGGTAGTCGACAACAACCGGCCGAGGCCAACTGTTTCGTCAGCTTTTTCATGCGGCTTCTCCATGTTGTAGGCTGTCCACCAGACCGTCTCTTCCAGCCCTGTCCAGCAAGTGCAAACAATGCACAACGGGGGTAACGCTGGACAGGCATGCGCAATACGTGTCCCAACCACCGCAGTTGATGCAGTGAGACGAGCTCCTAGAGTGAGTGGCTCCCACGTCCCAAGACACGCCGTCTAACTTCCACATCGCTTACGTGGTGCTGCCACCACACACGGGCAATGGACCGCAGACAGCGGTGCTCGAAGACGGATAGCCTGCGCAAGTCATCTTTACGAATGGGCCAGGTCTCGCATCCGTACAACAGTACAGCACGAACAGTTGCACAATAGACCCGTCCTTTGATGGAGAGACGAATGTCGTGGCGACGCCACAAATGCCTCAGCCTAGAAAAAGCGAGGCCTGCTCTCGAGATGCGCATCGAAATCTTGTCTCCAACAGCCCCGCCAGCAGTGATGCAGCTCCCAAGTAGACAAAGCTCTCCATAACCTCTAGTGTCTCACCAGCAAGAGTGAGTGCAGGCAGAGGCACCTGCCAGTCTTGGAAGAGAGCCTTGCATTTAGATGGCGAGAACTACATGCCGTACTTTGATGCTTCAATCGCCAAGCGGTTTAATACAAGTTGGACGACGTGTGGATCGTTACCCAGCAAGACGATATCATCAGCATAATCCAAATCAACATTTCAGCATTTGCGACTTCCGTTATATGGGACGTGCAATCCGTCGCACAAATATTCATAAAAGGTAATGGCGTTTCGAAGAATTCCTGGATACCATGACTGAGCCTGTGCTTGGCTCGAGACGACAGGATATGGCTCCCAGCCGGCACGAATGGCGCGCTTGCTGTTGTCACCTAGTCAGAGTGCCTATTTAACGCGTCTGATGCTGAGTCATCTGTGGTAGTAAGGCTGATAAAGACGCCGGGCAGTGAGTCGCCGTGAAACTGTTTCGCCGGCAATCAGCTGTTTGTGAACCTGTGCCGATTACATAGTGCAGGCAACCTGATGCAGGAGCGTTTACTTGGGGCATTTACGTCTCGTACTAGGCTTTCCTTCTCCCCTTGTATTATTCCTCGTTCCATGGGTCATCATGATTGTTCAACTGCGAAGCATCAGGGCAAATGACTGATGTACCGTTGTTGTTGACGATGACTATTATCGACAAGCACTATCCATCGGTCATGCAATCAGAAATAAGAAATCCGTGAGAGCGGCATGGACATAAGATGGGTCGCCCGCCTGAGACCGAGTAATGCTTAGAGGACAGAAGCGGGTCTGGTGACTATGACGCGCATGTCTAGGTGAGAGGTATCGCTTTCCGTCGCAAAGGATTGAATTTCGATGCCTGTCGCTCACGAGACCCTTGACGCCAAATGGCCACCGTCTGCAGATGACTCGCGTTGATGCAAAATTGTCAGTCGATCTGGAGCACATACCCGGATTCTGTTAGCGGTTTAATATGCAACTCCGATGCTTCTCGATTCTTACATGTGCGAACAATCGGTGAAACCCAAAGAATAATATAAAGTGCAGCATCGGCTGTCACTGGCAAACTAAGTAAGTCGTGAAAATCATCAGTTTGTGCGGTGAACATAAAAAGGCAAAAACGACAGCAAGTCCGCTAATAACGATGTTCCTGAGCCGATGAGGCGCTCCCTTTGATTCAGTTAAACAAACAGCGCGGGAACGCACCGTAGCGCAGTCGACGTTAACCCGTCAGCAGAGTCGTGCGACCATGCTGTTGCGTTTAACGAACGAACCGGTTAAGTTCGTTTCCGAATGACCGTCTAGTTCGTTTCTCGGATCCAGGTGCTCACCCCGGATTGGACACTCCCATCAAGGATACAGCCCCCCGCCCCCAATAGGTAAATGAGAAGGCATTGGAAATTGCAGTTCCTCATCACGTCATCGGAGGGTGGTGGCGACTCACCAGCTGTTCCACTTAACACCACACAGAGAACTGAGGTGCAGTCAAGGCGACGGATATCGACCGTCGCACCCAATTTCTAAGTAGGTTCAATGGGCTTCGCACAAAAACCTACAGGGCATTAGCCTATTTATCATGGTCTCCAAAGATTCCGTAGTAGGAATATTGTGGGAGGTAGCTGGTTTCCTGGAAAATCGAATCGGCGAAACCCAAGCTGGCTTACGCCACGGTGAGATCCGATAAACCATTTAGTTAAACTATGCAAGATGTCGAACAGTTCCTTGTATATGATATAACTTAGTCGTAGTTAAGAAGCTGAGCATAACCCTCGAATCAGCTGACTGCGCACTTTGCAGCGTGCTGGAAAAGCCGCTCACCAGTGTGAAAACCCTATACCGAGACTCCTGCGACAGTCCATCTCTGTGTACAAAGTTGTTACTTGAATACGTGATACGCGGGATGTAACAAGACTACACTAGTCACCTTTCCTCCTCAACAATATGGCCGAAGGGATCATAAACAACCGGCTTGCGAATTCCCTGGGTAATCAACTAAGAAACGCACCGCATGTGGACGATACGATTCTTTTGGGGTCGAGGCCAACTGTTGTGCAAGTGTTTCGGATTGACCGATACAAAGGAACTGCACGCCTGGACAAGCGCTCTATACTTCCCCAAGTGTAAGACACTGTCGCAGAAGTGGGTCAACAATTCACTGTTCCTCACACAATTCGTGAGAAATTATTCGAAAAGTTGGATCAGTTCAAATATCTCGACAGCCATGCAACTTATGCAGCTTAAAGCGCTGAATAAAGGGTGCGTATCGGCTAGGCTCGCATAGACCCGTAAAAGCTTGAATCATATATGGGAATGGTGAGATTCCAGCATATTAGTGCGGCAAACATGAAAAGGCGCGTTTTGATCAATGTCTTAAGCAAACCAAGTGAAGTATACTATTCCTAGAGGGGGACAAAACAGTCACAGCGAGACAAAGTTACCACCTTGGTGACTGTTATGGGTGTAAATCAAACGCGAATCAGCCGGCGGTCTAGTCCGCGGAATTGTGACACAAAGACAGGGGATAACAACCACGGGCTTACGGTGTCGTAAGGTGCGAATGACTAAACTGCGCAGATAAACGAACAAACTCCAGAACACACATTATGGGGTGAGCGGTTGAACTAAACTGAATGAACTAACACGACGGCCAAGCAAGCCTCGCTCTATTACAAAGAGCTGTTCGTCTGATACTTCAGTTACAGTCTTTGGCCTATGCAATTTTGACAACTGGCTATGAAATGCCGGTCTCAAACGAATGCCTGATGCGCCTAACAAAATCAGAGCCGGCCCGTAGCCTAATGGTAACAATCTTCGAGCCCACATTGGGGCAGGACAACCCTCGCTGTATCCTTAGCCCACATGCGACCAGTAATGGTTGCGTGGCAGCGAACCGTCAGTATTACGTACCGGCGTACTGCTGTTGCCTGACAAAACCAGAAATGGAATCCTAGCACGAAAAAGCGCATCAGTTAGCTAGTAAAGTAAAACAGCGGGATGCACTGTAGTGGCAGCTGGCGTGCGAGAGAAGCAATGACCCCAGGCCGACCCTTGCTCGCACGCGTAAATAGCCACAAATCGACTACGAATGAGCGTATCGATGACACTAAGCAAATAATTGATTTAGGATGGCGAGAAAAGAATTCAAGTGAATGTCATGAAAGGAACTACCGGATGAAATACGCCAATTTGTGCGTGATACGAGATATAAAATGGACCCATGTTTAATGAACAAGAAAAGGTTAATCGAAGTCCAGACTTTATTTTTGATTCACGGAGGGCTACTTCGACACCCAATGGCTGCTCACTAGTCTACCTTGGTAAGAAAAACATGTCGCTAAACGACTGATGTTGAAAATACCCATGCACAGTGAGGGTAGCGTGACAAGTGGCACACCAATACTCCATATCATGCCTTGCTGACAGCAACCGGAAGCGGTAGCATGCGGAGTAGGATATTGCTGTGGAGTTCAAATCCGTGGAGAAGCGGGAATTGGAACGCGAGGTAAGCCAATGGCATGAACCACTACGCTACGGCTGAAGAGGAGTGGTAGACACACAAAGCATGCAGCTGGTTGCCGTTCGCCTGTAGCAAATGTCCGAGAAGCACCACAATTATGGTATCCAGTACTGTCCACATCCCGTTTGATTGAGTAAGTCGCTGAGACATAAAATCATTGCTTATGTACCAGAGTTCAAATAACCACTCAGCAACACCGCTCGGTTCAAAAACGCCACCTAAAGCACTTTCGTTCGGTCCGAAATTTTGTTGTCCTCGTAATAATACCAGTCAGCTAGAACTAGAAGTCCAGTTTGAAAATGCACATTCCCAAGTATCGATGCTTATACCCTTGTCAGTGTTAGCGGGTGAGCATATTAAATCCACCATGGTCAATACATGCTACCAGTACCTGAAGCACAAACCTCAAGTCAGGTATCTATTGACGAACGCGCAAGAAGACACCGTAAAAGCGCTCAAGCGGGGCGAGGATGTACCGCTTTCAAGGCCAGATAAAGGAGTAGGGATCGTTCTTATAAATACATCTGGCTATATCGCTAAGATGAATGCCATGCTCACCGATCATTCAAAATTCTGGATGATGAAGTAAGACGACAGCTTCAGTATAAAATACAGTCACAAAGCTACCTGAAGCAAGACAATGCGATTTACTCAGTGGTGTCCGAATACATGCGTCCCTTCAGGACAGTGATTCCAAGTCATTATGACTTACCTAAAGTGCATGAAGGACTTCTACTGAGGCCAAGATTACAAATGTGTAATGCTCGACATCACTCAATGGCTCGCTAAACTTCTAGAACCGATCAGAAAAGTTTTATCCAAACAAACCCTCAGAGATAATTACAGCTTCGTAGACTCTATAAGCCATACGCAGTTAATCGGAAAGAAAATGTTTTCTCTAGTTGTAGTGTCACTCTTCACCAATGTTCCGCTAGAGGAGACGAGAGACTACCTATGCGATGCTGTTCAATTGCACCATGTGGATGTCGGCTTCTCGAACGACCGGCTTACAGTTGCTTCTGATGTGTACCAGGAACACATAATCCTAGTTCGACGGGAAGATCTACAGAGAGAAGGACGGAGTCGCAATGGGCTCTCCGTTAGGACCATTATTAGCAGACGTATTTATAAGTTAGAGAACAACTATCTGAACGGAGTTATCGACCAAGTCATCTACTACGGATGGTAAGTGGATGATACATTGTGCATCTCAGATTATCATCTTTGCACGGTAGAAGTAGTGAGGCAATTCAAGTCAGCCCCCGCAAACATAAAATTCACCCTTGAATCTGAGTGCAACAACTAAGTGTCGTAGTTAGACGTTCAGATGAGCCGAAGATCGGACGAGTCTATCCAGCGGAGTGTGGAACGGGCAATATACTCATTCTGCCAACTTCGTTCCACTCGGCCAGAAACGAAAACTCGTGCGGTGCCTAACCGAGCGAGCAAGAAGAGTATGGAGCAAGGACATGCTTCCGGAGGAGCTAAACTTTATACGAAGCCTATTCGATAGAAATGGCTATCCAGAATAGTTCGTTCCGAGAAACATGAAGCTACGAGAAGCGAGTGGTTTCAGTAGGAAAGAAACCGATATACTCATCGTTATCGTTCAAGTGGGACGGGATAGTTGAATCGACGTCTAGGAAGCTTTCTGACGCCATCGCTCAAACGTACTATGCAGCAAGCCTACGGCTGTTACAACTCAGTGCTGACCACAAATTCCAACATCAAGTACTTCTTTCTGTGTGAACTCTTTCTCTTGCTCGTGCTGATCAAGATATATCGAAAGAACTACCAGGAGACTGTCCAAGTGAGCTAGGGAAGACTGTTCAGGTTGACTGTATAGCGGCAAGCACGGTGTCTGCACACCTGGTCGATTCGAACGGCCAGGCCAGAGCGCATGAGGCGTTCCAGATGCCATACAAGAGAGTTTAGATTTCGTCTATTGGCAGCGGCCAAGGCAATCGCCATTAGGCTTCATGACCCTGACCTATGTGCGCATAAGAACTTTGTCCAGAAAGTCACTCTACCCTGTAATATTGACAGTGTGGACAACACCACACACTCTTGATCGCCGTGGGGCCAATCACCTAGCTTGGTCACTTGGACCAGGGATGTCCAAAGTCCGGCCCGTGGCGTCATCATGGAATAATAAATTCAGACTTGGACTTTTTTCGTGCATGTGCAATTTTTGTTAGTAACTGTCAGACTGAATATGGCCCGATGTACTTTTACCTCACAAACAGTTTGGACGCCCCTGACTTAGACCATCTGGATGTTGAACCTGTGCCCTTATCTGATGTTTACATTCATGTCATTCATTTGTGGTGCGTTAGCCTGATGACAATCCAATGAACACGAGCTTGTACGCTAACACTCGTTCTGAATTATGGGTAAATCCGAGTGTACACATACGTGACCCACAAGGAGAACGCCACTCTAGGTCATTAATCTGGGGGATGCTCTTATTGGCATCAAATAGAAGCGGTCAGAATAAAAGCGGAAACCGGTAGTTCAGGTTGCTCTGGTGGCAGCCGAACCGTTCACTGAGCTTGGCAAGTTTGTTGCAAAAACGTTTCGTCATTAATCGAGGTGATATGAACAGTGCGTTGTTGAATAGCGTAGGGTATGGAAGCCTCGATAAGAATGTTACGAAGTAGTGTAGCGTAGGGGAACCTCGATGGGAGTGTCGATAAAGATTGTGGTACAAGAAAACGAGCAAAGAAACCATGGTGATTGTAACAGCCAATTGTGAACGCGACAATAAGAGAATCACAACGCCTTTTAGTTTGAAACGGTGTATCGTGGATGGCCGGTCAACCAATGAGCGGTCAGGTGGCCAAAATAATCGTAAAGAGAAACGGACAATCACAACGATTGCAGACATAAAGAGCGCGCATGATCGTAGTGTGAAATAAACCGTTATTCCCAATTTCGAACGTGATAGGATGTAGCAAAATAAGGAAACGTACTATACAATTATGAGAGTAGAATTGCAACGATTCGAAAAACTTGAACGGTAGCGCAATTGTGTCCATGAGCTGAAAACACTATGCTAAAATGGAATCGTAGGTGAAGGGAAGCCACGAAAAATAAACTGGTTAGGGGGTGCCAACCGAAGGAGGGAGATCATGGACAAGAAAAGAACGAGGCCGAAATAAAAAAAACCGGCCAATGAGACGAAGAGAAGGGAAACACACGATAGTGTGTGCAGTTGGACATACAAAATCCTCCCGGGGCAGAAAATAATAAATAACTATACAGGAACACAATGGTATCTGTGATAATGTGGGCATAGGAATCAGAGTTCCGTATTTCGCTGAACTTCGGCGGTGATAAGGCAAGATATTAAGAAAGACGTACAAATGATCTTCCCAAGGTCATCTCGAGGTTTGCAGTGACCGTAGTCTGTTTGAAGCCCACAATCTGTGCGCCTGAATCACAGGAGCTAGATACAAGGGCATATTGCGGAAGAATAGATAGAGAGCGCTGTATCATATAATGTAGTGGAGAAAGGCGCTTAGGGACGAAAATAGTAAAACGAAAACTATAAATTGAAGTGTGCCTCAAAGACATAAAGATGGAAAACGCGACAGGACAGTGAACCAACGAGGAACAGGTCGATGTAGTTGTGATCATCGTGGGGGTTTGCGAAAATTTTTCACTTTGGTCGGAGGTGGACCTGATGATGATGGCGGAGAGGAGCAAAGTGTACACTCGGAGGAAGAGGATGTGGTAGACACAGAGGACACGGAAGACGACGATGAGATGGAGCTGTGGGCAGAGTGTTTGTCGGCCTCGGCTGCAGAATCGGAGGAGAGTGAGGACGAGTCGGACAGACGAGACTAGAGAAAGGGCAGATACACAAAAAATGTTGGGAAATTCGATTTGGACGACAAACTGCACTGATTTTGAAGTAGACGGAATGTCCAATAAATGAGTTTAATGGTGGAAGTAAGAACGTGCATGCAAAGTCCGCATGTGCCGGAAACGATTTGTCGTGACGTGACTGAGAAGGTGAGAACGGGATTGGTTATGGTAAGCTTCAGAAATCATCGGATCTCAATAACAACTAGGATTAACGCTAAGACATGGAAAGGGACAAAGTACAAAGTTACACATCTAACAAGCACTGATAGAATGAGCCAAGGATCAGAACAGGGGTGACGATGCCCGTTTCATGACATATGCACCAGACAGAACCACAGATTCCGACTTATAAGGGGTCAAAAAGAACCTTGGAAGAAACTGAAAGTAAGTCACAAGGTGGCTTTCACTCGCTTACATCGTGATTGTCTGTGAGGTGCAAGCAGAAACTTTGTTGATATGAATTACTCAACCCTATGGGAATGCTTGAAACAACTTGTAACTGGAGACTAGAAGTGACACAGACAAATAATTAGCCGACACGCAAAACTAATAGGCTCAGTAAACAAAGGTGACTGTTTTTCAAAGTGCGACCAAAGGGTCTCGTCCCGAAGACAAATGGAAAAGTCACAGTACCAACCAAGTGGTGGATTCACCAGTTATGAGAAACCACACACACACACACACACACAAAGACGGTCAAGAAGCGGTGGTCATTATTAGTTTGTAGTGTAGTTGATCTGTAAAACAGGCGCACAACTTGATGTCTGGACGTCTGCTAAGGTAATTAAGATCTGTTGGCCCGTAAGGGTAGGATGGCGCCATGCCGATGATTCCCGAAAGAATGAAACGAGCGTCCGATGCATTTCTAGACGTTTGACAACCTGCCGATAAATTTAGTCGTTCTAACATCACAAGAGCTACACAGTAAGACCAAGTTACCAAAAGCGACTATTAATGTGAGTGGATGTGCTGGCGAGTAATCGCAAGGTGATCAAAAATCTGCTTTACCGGTTGTGGCTTCCTATCGGTTTCGATCTTGGTAGGACGGTTCGCCGCGGCAGAGGCGGTGGTTCTGCTTGAACTTGAGGCCTTGCTGAGGTGACCTGAGCGAACAGGAGAAGAGCAAGCGTTACGAGGACCCGAGTGACCACAAAGTGGATTTTTAAGATCCGGTGGTAACTTTGGAGCGGTTTTGCCCGGAGGAGCCCTACGTTTCGAAGATACATGAGCAGACGGCGGAGCACGGCGGGATTGCATCATTGCGTTTGGTAATGGGGCCAAGGTGCGCATGGAATTTGGGGGACGGCAAGGTTTATCGTGCTGTTTCGATTGCAGGTCACCGTCTCGACGGCCGTCTTTGGACTGCGGCTTTTTATCGTTTTCCTCAGGGATGCGTACTCGATCGCACGATTTTGGAGGTAATGGATGACGAGAGGTATCAGATAATCTATATGCACTGCTCGAGGCCTTTGATGTTCCGTTAAGAGAATGAGAACCGGAATTAAGAGAACGAGGAGCCTTTGTGTGGGACGAACGGTCCAGTTTTTGCGAATTCTTGGATAGCGTTTTGGGTGCAGACCTCGGTGGAATTGGATGATTGCTGCCATCAGTTTCCAAGTCCTAGAAGTGTGAGGAAACAAAGTACATAGTGTGATTACAACACAAGACGTGGCCCATCAAACAAGAGAAAAGCAGTGGCATGGACTCTGAGAAAGGGCAATAGAGTTTACCGAAAGACCCGCAAGGTGGTGAACCTAAATCAGGTTCGAACAGAGGTCTTCTAAGTAAAGAAAATTCTAGAGAACGGCAACAGGTTCGGACAGGTGTAATGGATAACAGAATAACTCTCAGTAATGCAGCTGACGTGTAGTACAGAAGCCAAGTAGTCATGAGATTAGGTGACTCCAGTCACTAGTGACCCTAGAGAAGTGCAGTCGAGCCCAAGCACTTAAGAACGGAGTAGCCCGTGATAGAACGCGTGAGTTACCTAGTGCAGGGCAAAACTCTGCGTACTTAAGACAACACGAGTCTTAGAGCAGAACACAGCGGCATATACGAACCGCACAGATGACAAGCGCAGGCAAAGTGGATGAACGGTAAACTGTTTAGTCCGCACATCACAGGCGCAGATGAAGAAGTGTTTCAAGTAGGAACACAGTCACTTAGCAACAGTAACAGGAATTGTGTTCTTGCACTCAGTGTTGTGCCTCCAAGTCATAACCAATGCACTTAGATATTCCATCCATCTTCCGATATTGCTCCAAACGATCTCCATAATCTTCTGATTCCCGAGTCAACTGAACTCAAATAATCCGGCTACTGGATGAAAAACTCTTGGGTTCATTACTAGTCAACAGCAGCGGGAGTACTACGTGCGGGTGTTTCGTCGCTATACAACGGTAAATAAGGAGGGGCGATTTTGGCAGCAGAAAAAGAAAGATGGTTGGGGACTTCAAGCGGAAGCAAAACATGCCAAGAAAACATACGGGATCTAGGTGCGTTCACAAACAGTAGGCTATTGATGGGAAACAAAGCGTATCATCGTGATCTGACAGCTTGGCTGCGGCCTTCACTAGTTCGCATTATAACTAACCTTACCACAAAGGTATCATACAAACTCTAAGTACGCAGCGATGTTAAGGGGCAACAGCAAAAAAGCTATTGGTGCTGGCTGCGAGCCACACATACTGTGGGTTATGTAGATAATAATCCAAAGTGCGAAAGGAACAAAAAACACAACCTTGTGGTTACGGGGCTCGTTTTTGATATCAAATCAATGGTGTCCACCTCGGACGTTAGAAGAAACAAAAGGAATTTATCAGTGGGCAGTAATCAGGCATACGTGGTGTTACGTTTATCTGTTGATTTAAGAAACTAACATGATCATCGTCACCTGGCACTCATCGACACACGTTAACATTGTATGAAAGAATAGAACGGAATCCCATTACTTATGACGAGGAGCAGAAAAACTGCGGCGAGAAAAAGATATTTCCTGGAGGGCGTTTCGGAATGAAGTCATCGTATGATCCAAGAGTCGAAGACGCCTGAGCTACTCAGATCGAAGTGGCCAAGTTCCACCGGTGTGTGTGTGTGGGGGTGGGGGAGCGGGCGTCACTGTAATACGGTACATGTGGTCTATAAAGATGAAAATTCCTACGTAACACCACAGGTGCTGCAGGTTCACGAGGGCAATTTCAGCTTTCGCCAACCCTGCTGTCATGATAAATAAATGCATTAACTGCGTACCGTTTCCTTCCTGTAAAGGCCAACGCAGAAATTAGTGGCTTGTGGATCTGAAAAGGCACTTTGAAGGCAAAGGCAATCCTAAGGGATGGGGACCATTCCTGACGGCTAGCAAAGAGCTGAGTGCGCTTCCTGGTGCTTGGTAAATAGCAAAGTGTCATGTAGGGTGCAAAGCAACTGATGTCTCTTCAGAGGACTTTGACCTTGGTAGCTGCAGTATGAAGTATTATAATGGAATACCATGCGACGGAGTCTAGGATCAAATGGAACGAAAAACAGGGAAAAGAAATGACTCTGCCAAGAGCCAGTTTCGCCGGAAGAAATCTGGCAAATCGTCGTGCGCTATGACAACTTGAGGTCAGCAAGTATGGGACAAACCAAACGTTCACAGCATTCAGGATGTGCATATGTTGAAGGTAATGGAGTAGTAGACAGAGAGTAACAGGTTACGAAATCGAGGAACATGAATAGATCAGCCTGCGGCGTGCGAGATGTTGCATCAGACCCTGCCACAAAGTGGAAGAGAGATTGATGCAACTACAAAGATGGAATGCAGTGAACATGGAAAGGAGCGAATCTGATAACAAAGCGCTCTCATTGTGGGGCGCGTCCGGGTTCCAAATTGGAGAGACGGAAAGCGTACGGATGGAGTGGCTCGTATTACGGATCAAGCAGTGATCCGTAGCTATTGTTAGTAGAAGAAAAAATGTAGAGGAATATGACTGCCCCAGTGAAGGATGTTGTGGTAGGCCAACAAGGTGGATAATAACCAAAAGGCTCTAAAAATCTTATATCAAGCTAACTATGGCAGGCGATGGGGGTTGGCAAAGTGCTTTAACAGTGCGCAACTCCTGATAGCTAACCATCCCATTCAGATAACAAGATGTCTCAAAGTGTTATGACCGAAAGTATGGTATCGTTAGAAAGTCAGGATATTGTGTAGACAATTTGCTATCACATGATCACCGCCGGCCCGTAACCTTAAGGATCACAAGTCTGCCTTGTAATCCGAGGGCGCGAGTTCGAACCTGCGTAAGGACCGCGCGAGCCTCATAGTATCCTTAGTCCACGTGTTGGTTGGGCAACTGGAGAACAACAAAACGCTTATTCCTAAACAAAGGAATGTGAAAAACGGAATCTTACTGATGACGAAGAAGTGGAGCTGAGGTGGGAAGGAATATATTTCTTGGAAGGTGCTGAAAGGCGTTTTGGAACGGAACCATCCCGATTACTGGGCTTCGGAGAGCGATTAGATGCATTCAAGTTGGGTTTTGACGACTGCAAGTGGACAGTAGACCGAACTTCGTCGCGAACCCGAGGTACACGGGATCCAACTGTTTTGGTCCTTTTTTCCCCAGCGGGAAAACGATTGGATTCTTTAAGCGATACTCTTGCTACCGAACTCTCAGGCTTCGATGAGAGCGAGGAACAAGAAGAGAGCGAACTAGAAGATGAAGTGCTGGACGATGCAGGCTTTCGTTTATGAGAGCCAAATGTTCGAGCGGATGGACGGCCGGAGTGATTTCCGGGGTGAGCGCTGGAATGAAAATCCTTGGAGCCCCTGGTAGGTCTGGATGAGATCCTTGTGGCGTTAGCATGCAAAACAGACTTTGAAGATGATGGATGAGAAGGCTCATCAATCTTTTTGGGACAAGGAACACTTGGATAAGATGCAGCTGGGGAGGAAGTATCACCTGAAAGAACATTTGATAGGATGGAAAGATCACAACAAATTACGATAAACGCTTAGGTGAAAACACATGACTAGAGAAGAGGAATGTGTGCACGGCCACGTGTGTGAATTCGTAGCGCGGAAAAGTAAGATGCAACCGGAAGGGATAGTGAACGTACTCTTCGGCGGTACGGCACCCATGTGTTCAATCGCCTTGCATTCGGACTCTTCGGCTTCCCACTTGGTTGACGATTCCGGACACGAGGGGATGGAGGGTTCTGATAGATGACCACCCTCCAGAGCAAGCAAGCGATATCGTAATTGAACAAAATGAAACAAGATAACTTTAGCTGGTGGGACAACACTGCCATCTAACCAACCAGGGGTTTTCATGCATTGTAAAACCAGCAACGGCAGCTGTAAAACTTGACTGATCGCCTGAGACCGCTTGGCCGGTTGAACTGGTTTATCCCACTGTTTGACCGAGTCAGTCGGAGAATAATCCTTCAGTTTACTGGAAAAGAAATTGAGATTAGAAGCCTAAGTATGCAAATGTGGAAGTCAGACATCTATCGCAACGGAATGGGGGATTCGAAATGAAGGTAGGTTCGATGCGTGTTTAAACGGCGAAATAATGCCAAATGTCGCAAAACTATAATTGGTGAATAGATGAAACGAGCGGTAGACACACAATGGGCGTATCCTCAAAGAGGATACCTAACTGTACAGTGAACAACGGATCGTGCATGGGGATGACGTGATCTGTGACTGGGATGAAAAGCCATAGGATCAAGAAGCGGGTACCCCCACCCCCATAGGGGATAGTGGGGGCTCGCGGAATGAGAATGCATCATAGGAAGAGGAGTCAAGTTGTCCGGTAAGAAGTTATCAGTAACCGAATATGGTGATCCACAAACAAACAGTGGTAGATCGCGATTACACAGTATGGGTGATTAGAGTAGGAGAACGTTGGGCAGTAGGCGCCTACGCCAGATACCGCTTTGATAGTGTTAACCCATTTATGCCTAATATTCCGTTATCGGAACAGCGGTCACGTGTCGGTTCTTACTAGCGTACTCATCAAGGTCGACAACGCAGTCCGCTTTATCACTTCCGCCTGACTCGTGGAACTCTGTAGTATCGCCGCGTGATGTTGCTTCACATGAGAAGTGTGCAGTTGAATATCACACACACACACACACACACACACACACACACACACACACACAGTAACAGTTACAGGCATAAACAGACAAAAACAGCATTGTATGTACTACGTTACAAAAAAACAATTGTTTCGCTTAGTGATCCATTTTTGGAATGCCTCATAACTCAAAAACTGGACAAAATAAAAAACTTTTTCTACTAATTCTTCTTTTACATTATTAGATCTAACATATTTAAATTTCGTGCAAAAATTCACGATTTCCAACCTCTGGCATAAATGGGTTAAGCAGCGCCCAGCAAGCGGTCATGCTCAAAGAATGGAAACAGAGAATGAAAACCAGAAGTCGTTTAGAATGAAACAGAAATTGGAAAGGTTGCTGTTGGCTCTTCTGCACAGTAACTCATTGTGCACACAAGTTGTAGTGCTGAAACACGCAAAGAATTATTTTCTTTCCCAAACGCGACAAACGCCCCAGTTGGTATATTAAAATATCTGCCGTATAAGCACCAAACGACGATGTGGCAATGAATTTTGTCCAGTTAGTAACATCGTCCAACCAGTTCAGATAAGAGTACTTCAATGCCATGCGTCGGCCTATCTCCACGGGACGCAACGGTGTGGCCGCCGACACTACTGAAGGTGGTGAATTAAGAACATGCCAACAAACACCACGAAAGAATAGGTACTCTGACTTGTCAATCTTATTCAGGAACCGAGGTACAAACCACTACAAGGGACTAGGGCCTAGAGACAAATGAGGTTAGAACAGATGACGATGATTTTAGTAGTACCCATAACAAGAGATCAACAGGGGAAAATCGGTTTGAAGTAGCGGAGCGTTGATGAGACACACCAGCAACCCCAAGTGCCATTCATCACATGATCGCCAGACACAAATCAATAGGCTCGATTCGAATGGGTTTTTTTCTGATCAGCTGTGACCCTGTGTACCCACAAGTGATTTGTCGGCTCATTTTTTACCGTTTAGTTCTGTACTGAGCCGGATAACAAATAAAACAAAAACAACTGTTTGCTCTAAAATCACCGCTTGCGTTTCTCTTCGGGCTTAACAAGGACAAGCGAATTGAGCCGGTTAGGGAATGGCACCACAAATGACAAGTTCTATGCGAACGACTTCGTCGAACGATTTGTGGGGACAGCAGAATGTCCGTGTAAAACTCAAAAGGAAGGATAAAACAGTTCATAGAAAATATCATCTAAATTAGACGACTGTGATAGCCCTAGTATTTGAATGGACCTAAATGTGTCTATCAGGTGGCTCTTACCTGTCAGTCACTCCGTACACGTCTCGCAAATGCTCACGAATGGCCAGCAATAAGAAGCAAACAGGACCAGTACGTAAAACGGACTTGAACGACTTCTGGCGGAGAGACGAGGGCTGAGAGAGCTCGAACAATTTCTGGAGACGACCTCCTTCATCCCAGTCAAACGAGGTAGCCACATCTTCGGCATCGGTGGCCTTGCACGAAGCAGCCAACTTCGACTCGACTGAGTCCAACAGATTATGCAGCTCGGTTTCGGCGCGCAAAATGCGGCCTTTTTCCTCCTCCTCATCAACAGGATTGGGTGGTTCCGAATTGCACAACGAAGAGAGGAGCGCATGTTGAACAATACGCAAAAGGGCAGGACCGCAGTCGCTAACCAGACGTTCTACAGTGAAGGCTACGTAAAGCACCTCATCTTGCGTGGCGTAGGGAAAATGAGCTAGCTGATCGGATAGAAATATCAGCCGTCCGAGTGGATCATGCGGAACGTTGGATGAGAGCAACCCAGACAAGACAGACTCAAAATCCGAAGATTCTGTGGTTTTCTGCAAGAGTGTTGAAAACGTTTCAGGAAAAGAAATACTGTGTGATAACAAGGTAAGCCCAATAAACTACACACACGTATCAAGCGACAGTAAACAGTATGAAAACAATCACCTGATCCGAGACAAATGAGGATAGCAAACTGGAAATGAACGACCGTCGGCTCTGACGGTTAGAGCGCAAAATGGTGTAGACAGCGTGATTGAGAGCAGTGGGCTGAGCATTGTTGCCTGGTGACACAGGGCCAGTAGATAAGGTGTTCTCTGGAGCAAAGCCACGTATGATGGGTATACGAAGAGGAGAATGGTTCATATCCAACGCCGAGAGATGCAGCAATAGATGCAGGTGGTAGGACATATAAACGCCAGCCGGGGCTCGCATCTGAAAAAAAGAAGTGAAAGTGCTGTTACAGATATTGTCCAGTGTGTGTCAGTGAAAACAAGTATATTTGGTGACTGCTTCCGCCGAAAGCAGTTATGCAGAACTGTCTGAATGTATAAACCACATGCTTCGCAGAGGCACAAGTAGAAAAATGCCAAAAAGAAGCGTAGTTAGAAACGGATCGTAAAATCTGTTACCTTTGCGGATACAAAATGGACCGTTTAGGGGAATAAGCGCGACGCCGACTTGATTCCTCGTCCGTTTCTTGTTCGCATCAACAACAATTATGAGGCTTATCAGAAAGTGGGAACAACTGGTTGTCAATTCGCACAAACATGCCGCGTAATGAGTGATATAGGTGCATATAAGGAAAGTAAACAACAGACATCGAAAATACCACGCACCGCTACAAAACCAGGGACTTTCCGTTCTGATTCAAGCAGTAAGTGACTCGCGCGCATTCGATTACCCGCATCCGGATCGGTCTGGAAGCATATGAGGGCTGAAACAGTTTGGACAGGGTGCACGAGCCCCTGACGGAGAATGATTGAAATCAGTCCCAAAGTAGCAGTCCGTACATTCGCTGAAGATGTGAGAACACAGTGTCTGAGGATGAGAGGCAAATATTCTTGGGCGACGGCGCTCCCGTGACCTGAGCGACAATCTGAAAGTTCTTTGAGGGATTCAGATTTGTGGATAGAAGCCCCTGTATGGATTGGGGGAATCAATAAACAAGGAACCAAATGTGAAACAAGAAATTTGCGGAGGTAATGGGCATTGTGAATTTCTAAATAGCTGCGCGACTGGAATACGGTCGACCAGACGAAACATCGATAGCAAAAGGTGTGATTTGTAGGTCAGTACTTTCAGTGATACAGCATGATCAATGGAAAAACATTAGTATGATATGTGACTGACACTTAGCCAACACTACCTTTAATCGCTGAAGCTTTTGGAGCACGGTTGGTGAAAGGTAACAATGCGAATGAAAATGGAATTTCATGCAGAATAGTGTGCATCGATCACTGTGGTACCTGTCTTCCGCTAACAGAGTGTACCGGTCTGTCATACCCTTTAAGGGTTAACTGCACTGGTAGTGATTGGGAGATTGACTTAGAGCAAAACAATGCACACAAAAGGAGATTTCCTCGTGATTCGAAACGCGTTGCATAATGCCGGCACCAGTTGTTGGTAACGCTTAACAACTGAGGTAAATGGTAATCCTATGTAAGGAATAGAAACTGCCGATTTATCCATTTGAACTATGCATATGAGGTTCTCTCCAGCTTAGGCTGCTACAGAGGTTTCCCTCTCGTGTTAGTCAGAAAGAGACCGTTTTCGAGTACGTTGCTTACACCAACGGTAAAATGGAGCTTCTTCAAACCAAGCCGTACTTCAGATAGTGAACGTTGAGGTTTGTCTCGTGGGAGATCGATTAATATGTGACGCCGTCCCCATTTCATATGCCTTAGGGCGAGACTTCTAATCAAACACGTGAGAGAACGTTCTAGCTTACGGATAAAGTGACGATGACTGTGCGCTTCACATCGCTAACAGGGGTAAGAGGCATCAACAGTACGCCGGTACGCAGTGCCAACGCTTCGCTGCTGCGCGACCACCACCAGCCGCGCGTAGATCGCCCGGTTCCCTATACAGGCTTGAACGCGCAACCGCAGGATTACAAGACAGGCTTGTGATTCTAAAAGCTATGGGCAAGCCCGTTGTTGAAGAAACTGATGGCGTTAGAATCTATACCGAAAGTACCCAAGCCAAAAGAAACCTACTGAATGGCCACATGTCCTAGTTGCCAAACTAAAGCGAATGAACAGCGATTCAGGATAAAATAGTCTTGCAGTATTTCGGGATACGCCCCGACGGCAACTCAATACTCGACTCGGAAACTATTACGTCACCCCCGCTGGTGAGAGCCAACTGGCTCAATTTATAATGACAAAAATTGATAAGCACAGAGGTTAGTGATGAATCTGCTCGACATACTGATTGCTATGACGGTTCAAAAAATCATGTGGACAGCGAACAATAGAGCTACGGAAACCAATGCGATACAGAATGACAAATGGTGGGATGGCATCAACATTACGCCGGTACGCAGTACCGATGATTCGCTGCCGCGCAACCACCACCGGTCGCACATAGACTAAGGATACTGCGAGGGTCACCCGATCACCTACGCAGGTTCGAACCCGCGCCATCAGATTACAAGGCCGGCTTGTTACCTTTAGGCTACGGGCCGGCAATGGTGGGATGGACCTATCTTCCAACACGCACAGTACATACTAAGCGGAGGGGAGACGTCCAAGAAAACGCAGGAGATACAACCAAGTACAAACATCACGACTAGTTACCGATGGCAGGGCAAGCCGCTGGATATTTGGAGGAGAAAGAGAAATCGAATACTTTACACGCACATATCTATGTGTATCGAAAAATACCTCTACGCGTTGGACGTATGGATCGCCCGGTATGACTAAGCAGCACAGTAAGTGCTGAGACCACAGCTGCTGCTCCACCTAGAATATGCCACTGGATATAAATCTTAACGTGTCTCAATAGCCAACTAAATAGTAATACACGCGCACTTATATGGCCTAAAGACATGGTTCATGAAAAATGGTCCTTTCGATGTGAATGGTGTAAGTGTCTGGAGGTGCGCGCAGGCCATCCAACAGCAACTCACATAGTTGACTGTTTTCCACCATTTCCCGTTCCATGTCCAAGAAGTAGTGCATCAAATTATCCAGAATGATGTATTGCACTTCGTGGAAGGCTGTAGGTTTAGAAGAACCCGGCCGGGCAGCGACCAGGAATCGTGAGAAAAAAGTGCTCAGACGTTTGGTGCACAGAAGTTGATCGTGTCGGCTCACCAAAAAGCCCAAACCCATCACAGCTTTACGGCACAAGTCTGGATCGTTCATAGCAGCGGGAAGCACAGTTTCACCACCAGTATCGCCGCTGGCGGAGGGTTGAATCACTACGGGAGCAGCAGCATATTCGGCAAACAGCATAAGAGTATCGACCACCTCGTCCAAGACAGGAGCACTAGTTGACTGAAAGAAAGATAAAAATAACTAGCAGCATTATGAGGAAATGTCAACCAGATGAAATAGGTCGTAAGTGTGAGATAGGGAGGAATCTTATATCGGAGCAAGGTGTCAATAATGCGATTCAGGACGCATAGTAAGCGAAAGTGCCTTGGATAATATCAATGGCGAGGGAGAAGTGATCATAGATAGGTTGAATTAATAATATGTAAACATCCAAGCAGATAGCATTATGGGGCGATTGAGAGTAGGAAAACGTAAGTAAATCGCAGTTACAAGAAGCAGTGTAAAAAACAGTAAAAATAGCTGTGGGACGGAAAACTAACAACGTCGGAAAGATAACACAAGCAAAGGGAACAGAAACGGCGAATTCCAGGTCAACTCCACAAAGAATAGGGCAGAAAATCAGCTGTACACAAAAATTGGTTTCAGCATCACACCAGCGCTATGTGCTGATACATCGCTGTCGCACGCAGGCTGGGGGGTATGGCAGGAGAGCGGCTCGAGCTTGGGACACTGGGATTGTAGGCAAACACTTGAATCATTATACGATACGGATCGCAACATGCAGGGTGTAATTGCATTTTGAGAGGAGCACCTAGTCGCCACCTGGTCATTGGCCGGTGGTCGAAGGAGGATGAAGTGCCTGCCTTGTGACCCACCGGGTCACCGGTTCGGGCAACCATGTAGTATCCCTAACCCGCACGCGACTGGCGGTGGTCGCATGGCATTAAAGCTACTACGTGGTGCACCGCAGCTGCTTTTCTTACCTAATAGGTTTCAGCGACAGTGCCAATTTTTAGCACGGACGAGTGCGAGCTCTTGTACAAAGCGATGTCTGCAGGAATTTTGTTATAAAAGGGCGACAAATGTAAGGGCGGAAACTATTCCAAAGAACATTTTAAAGTTATGCTGTGCGCTAGCTCGAATGGAGTGAAACTAAGGCTAGACCAATTGCGTTCAAAAAACTAAGTACTGGAAACCTTCCAGTCACCTGGAAAGTAAATAAATCTGCATGGATGACTGCTGCCATAGTTGACGAGTGGATAAAAAAATCGACCGAGAAAAAATGGAGAGGAAACTATTCATTTTACTGACAGCGGACTGACCCAGTCATGTCCATGTTAATAATCTCACGAACGTCACATTAAAATTGCTGCCACCAAATATGAGTTCAAAAATTCAACCTCTGGACCAAGGAATCAACAAAATATTCAGAGCACATTACCGAGCCCAGCACAAGCAATGAATCCCAATACTTTGCATGCGACAAGAACTTTACCTACTGCTTCAGTTAATGCACTGGATGCTGTGTTTTGGATAAGTCCTGCCTGGCACAAAGTACATCCGGAAACAATACAGAGGTGCTCCAAGAAAGCTGAATCCGCTCAAACTGTTGAGCAGAACGCTGTTGGTTTAATAGACATTCCTTTTCCCATTACAGACTTCGAGGGAATAGATTTTCAAGAGTTAGTTGAAATTGGTGATGACTAGGAGATCTGCAGTGAACCAAACCCAGATGCTATTTTCAAAGAGATACTGACTGCGGCACACTCCTACGGAAACCAAAGAGAAGCGGCTGATGATGAAGAACTAAGTGAGGATGACATGTGAACCACAGAGACTGATGTCGGGCATCTTTTAATGTTTCAGAAATCATTTGCTGTGGAAAAATAGCCAAGCATGCTGAGCAGTGTAGGTTGTGCGGTGAGCACTTTCTTCAGACACCTTTGTGATAAGAAAAAGAACTAGACAAATATTGACTTTTCGCTCAAAAAACAGATTTGTTTTTCGAAATTCACACTGCGTTTTGATATATTATAACAATATGGTGGAACTGCGTTTGTCGTTACTTGAGATCTCGTCTAATGTGTGCGAAACGGGGGTGTGTGTTTGAAAAGAAATTTCATACTATACTACTCACAACGGGAAAATGGGTGACGCTAATTTTCGGCATGGAACCTCCGCATGCTGACCACTACGGTCCACTCCCTTGGGTGGTCCACTTACGGAGGTTCTACTGTATGTTATGACATTGGAGATTGGTGCCCATGATTATTTGCGGACGACACCAAACTAGTGTACTCATTTCTATCTGACCACCTGGAACCATGCATGAAAATATACGCGAAGACCTCTCATTGTGGTGGTGGTATGTTGTAGCTTTAGTCATACCGGTTGTCTATCGAACGGGCGAGCTGAGCGCATTTGGGCCGCCGCCCGTCGGAAAGCCGATCGATCGCCGCCATTCAAGCGACAACGCCCACGCGTGTGAGCGAGAAGCGCCTCGTAAGCCTGCAAGGCCAATTGGCTCGATCGATGCATATGCTAAGTTTCAGCCAGTTGGCAGCCCATCATCAAGGAAGAATGGATCGGAATCCATCAACGGTGCGTAGTTTGTCCTATACTATAGTAACTTCTGATCAAACAGATTTTTGATCGAGGCCCAGACTTTGGTTTTTGTTTCACGGAGAGCCACACGACAATCATCTCTAAACAGTCGGAGCGAAAGCAAGTCGATAAGATTTAGGGCACATAAATCTCGGATATTGTCACAGATGCAGTATACCGGACGGATCCATCACTCCCACTAGTATCCCCCCCCCATCCAAAATGCGTAGTCCATTGGAGACATGGTAATTTAACACCATAGCAACTTCGATTTCTCCGAAAACATCAAACATAAAGTAGAAAAAGCGAAGCAACTAACAAGCTACATCACTAGGTCATTCTCACTATTTCATACACGACTTGAATCACTCAAACACTTTAGAGTACTACACGATAACACACAGATACCTACCCAAAACAGACAGAATTGTTTTAAAAAACGTAAGGCGTTCCTTCACCAAAATACTCATGCGGCGCTTATCTAAGCTTACATACGAATAACGACCTTTCTGCCTCCAGCTCGATCCCCTCTGACTTCGACGGTTGAAAAACAATCTCACTCTTCTCCATAGTATAATATACTCGCGAGTCTTCTCAACCAGCACGGCTGTCGCTTTACAAAATGGCTCAATCTATGCCACTCGTAAGGGGAAATATCCACAAATTTTACAGAGGACCAAGCAAAGTAGTCGCATAAGTTTCTTCTTGGTGAGGTACACCCTGTGGAATAGACTACCGTTGCTACTAAACAACTGCGAGAGCCTGCCTATATTTAGATTTCATGTAAAAACGTTTCTTTCCACACCAAATGTGGTCAAACTTTGCGACCTTTAGCAACATACACGTGCACTCATAGAATCCGGCTCAAAAAAAAAACACACGACAAGACCAGATTTCGAATGATGTTCCATGTCTCATACTCCACAACACATTGCATCATTGTTCCATATTGTGTGCAAGTTCATAAACGGTATGTTGACGAAAATCGCCGAACAAATGATCGTCTCACAAGACGGAACGTATCCCGCACTTCGAGGGATATACCCACTTATTAATTTATTTAAAACAGTCGGGGAGATTGAATGGGAAATCAGATGTGTGTGTGTGTGTGTGTGGCGGTCCATGTTGCAAGTGATCGATGATATGGTTGGTAGTCGTCATCGAGTAACTACGAAGCATGGCGAAACAGTCCGAAAGCGAAGAGGTATTAAATCACTAGCGAAACGCAGAAAGAAGGCATAGGGAGCATAATAAAGAGCGAATGGATCATCAATAGGAACTTAGTAGTGTCCAGAGAATCCCCGAGCATATCCCAGAGGCGAAACGAAGTATTCAAACAGCTCAATTTTGTCACACCTTTAATACGACCATGCAGCTTTAGAGAACGACCACAAAGTGCTCTACTTATGGCCTGTACGTTACTCGCGACGCTTCCGCAAATAAGTGCCATCTATTGCCGAGGCCATATACCTCGGCCATATGAAAGCTGAGTTCTGTGTTCAAAAGAAATAGAGCAGTCTAACTTTCTTTTCGAGTGATTGTTGCATAGTATTCCACCTGTTGACTGAGTCCATTATCTGTAGCAATGACTTAGGTTTTCCAATCTGTCGTCCAAACTGCGTGTGATCAATAGTTAGCGCTTTACCGCACTTCCACTAATCCATCGTATAAACGTAAGGGTCTGATAAGTTTACCAGAAAAGAATTCTTCACCCACGATTCGAGTTCCGGTTTTGATTATGTCCAGGATTAGTCGGTTGTAAGTGGACGGGAGAGTAAACACAATACAGTCATACACGGTCGTATATGAACTGTGAGTACGTTAGAATACTCAGTTCTATGCAAAGCGATGTGACTTCAGAACAGAAAGACAGCAAAGCACCGAAACGCATGATCCCGGCGGAGACAAACAGTTGTATGCACTGTCACATAGATGGATGATCTCACTCGTTTGTAAAAGTATTGCTATCGGTCAAAAACCGAGGGACAGGTGAAACAGCGCTTAAAAGTGCTTACCACTCGGTCACAATCGCCGGTCAGGTCCTCCAGACGGAAGTGTTTGCACATCAATCCGACTGTGTATAATGCGCGAAGCACCGACGGTCGAGTGCGAGAGGAAAGCGCAGTGGAATTAGTGACTTTGGTTGACAGTGCTCTCTGCAGTTCGAACGACAGATTGATTAGTAAACCTGCGATAGAAAAACAATAGTTAGTGTAGTTGGATACTCAGAAAATGACAACAGTTGCCGTCAGTTATGTGGGGAGTGTCGTAAACACGAGGTTTTGATAACCACAAATTTACGAGCATTCAGTAGGATCAACAATTTTATAAACCGCATTGAAACAGACACGCCTTGATGGTGGAAAGGCGAGGCGACAAAATCAAAAAAGTTAGAAATAGGGTGGATACACCGCACATCGCGAGGTAAATAATATCCGCCAATGTAACACTAGGCTAGTACCACGCGCAGAAGGTAGATTTTTAGCACAGAAGGATTATAACAGTCACGAAATCCGGCAATATCGATGCAGAACACACTCAGATGGCATTGTATGTTTTGTTGAATAGTCCAATGAGTTTTCCGCATGCATTGTTCTTATGTGGACTGGTGCCGAGTGGAAGCGACAAGGTACTTCGGTTCGGGGGTTAAAGGGATAACCGCTAAAAGGATAAGGGGACTGGGGTTTTAATGGTAGAGATTGGGAGCAGATGCGTTGCAAGGCACTGTTGGCTGGGAACGAGGGTTAATGTTTTCATTTGAAGCTTTCTGCAGTGTTATCACATACTGTGAGATCTGCAGGCGTACATAATCGGCCGAGTGTTAAGTCCGTGTTTAGAGGCATGCAGTTATGCAAGAGCTCGTCACAGGTTTTCGATGCTCACTGTTCAGCATGAAGCCGACGGCGCGACATCGAAAGGAGTGTGGATGAGCCAAGAATAATCCGCAGCCAGTCAAAACGACCATAACGGTGCATGTAGGAGTCACGAAAAAGCCTACAGATATAGGCAAGAGGTTCAAATCGAAAGTGGTAACTTTAGTGTACACACGATTCGCAGTAGAATGCTTTCAGCTACCTTCTATCAGAGATAAGCAAGCCAAAGAACTGGCAGTCAGAAGGACCCAGACACAGAGGCGTCACCAATATCATCTCTTCGTGGCGAACAGGGCGTGATCGTGTTCAGAAGCATCATCAGTCTCTAGACAATGTCGTTGAGAAGAAAAAGTAAAGGCCACATCAAATTAGGTGCTGCATCAGCAGAGACACTGAAACACGCGTGCGGTGGATGCGCAAAAAATGCAACGCGACAAGCAAAAGTGGCTAGAACGTATCCGGTGGTAGAATGTAGTGTCAAAGGGTAATGCTGCGAAGCGCCAACGGTTGGGCATCAGTAATGGCCCCTTAATGGTTCCACTGGATATCAATAATGCGCAGTAAGCAGGGGGGTAAACTATATTAAGCGAGTTGTAACGGCGATGCATCACAAACAATAACGTTTATCACGTTGTAATGCTTCTCGTGTTCGCTTTGACCGATAAATCAGGTGGACATGTATTAGTGACCGACCACAAGCGCGTAGAGAGAGAGAGAGGGTAATCAGAAAAATGTTGGTGTTAATCAACCTCTGTGGCAGAACCTAGTACTTTTATGGTACGAAGCACATGACGATGCGTGCAGTGCTTGTAGCAGTGTCAGCGACCTCAAGAGAGCCAGCCATATCGCTCGCATACTCGGTCTACCGGTGGATCACTGAAAGGATGTTCACTACAAATGAATCCACTATGACATAAACGTTCAAGAGTATTCCAGTCACAAATCTAGTGACAAAAGTACACTGATTGTAGTGGTGAGCCCAAGAAAGATTCTGGTGGTGGACTGCTTCATGCACACTGAGATAGCGGATGCGTAGTATGGAAATGTCAAAACTGGCACGCCTTTCAAGCGTAGGCAGCGTCACAAATCCAAATAGATCAAAGGTGATCGGAAGCACGTGTGATGTCCATTTAAATGGTATAGAATAGAAATATGGGCTATGAGTACATCAGATACGGAAACGAGTGCAACTGTCGCCGATTGAACTCTACTGAAGATCAGTGGAGTCTGGGTTCAAAAGCAATTATCAGATAACACAGAAACGGTCGAGACAGCTGGCAAAACAAAAGCGGAGTCTCAAAGGACCATAAGGAAACGGTTAGACGGAGAGGCAATGAACCGTCATTGGTATTCAAGTAATCCCACCCCTGTGTAAACGACTGGCTGAGAATAAACAAACTAAAGTGAATTCAGACTGTTATGCGAAATGTTGCTTGTTCTTGTCATGTTAAAATCCTTGAAGGAAGATGTCTGCATGAGATCTTTAAAGAAACGCCTCCTGCCTGATTTCTTTCGCTCACTGTACAATCCGGTGACGCTACATTGTTCCATATCCGGAGGAACCGCTCATAACGAATGTATGGGGACGTCCGCAGATCCGGGTCGACTCACGAAATCACTGCGAAGAGCACCTGTCTGTGAATTGGCGAGAGTTAGGACCCTAGACGAAGTTTCTGTGCATTACGGTTTTCCGCCACGCTCCCCCCTCTCTCTCTCCGGCTAGTCTTCGCTCCGTGAGTAGTGGTTGTACGTCAGCGAAGCAACAGTTCAAATGGCTGAAGTAATGCTGTTGATGGTGATACCAGTTCAAATGCTCGGTACCTGCTCAATTTCCATGTATGCGAAACATCTCGTAAAGCTTTCAAGGTCATCAAAGGAAAAATACTCGAACCCCGCTCTGAGTTGCTGTGGTATCCGATATCCGGCGGTTAGAGCTCAACCTGTGTAACACACCTTAATCTCGTGGCCAGCCTGGCTTTGCTCTGGTAAGACGTAGGCCCGGTCAGTGGAAACGATGAACCAGATTGCAACAGATTCAAGTTAATTACCCCCATCAATCCCTTATCACTGGTATGCGAATAATCCCAGAATCATATATACGTAAGCGGCCAACTGGCAGTACACGAACTAGACTGAATTCAGATGATCACGCGAAATGTTTGTTGTTCTTGCTATGTTAAGATGCTTGAAGAAAAACGCCCAATTTGCTACGGGCACTGTAGGTACACGCAGCTATGGTGGTGCCGATTCCTGAGAGGTTCATTATCGCTAGAGGTTGCCATATGTCAGTAGTCCAGGTGACACAATATGCAATGAGGATGGAAAAAGGGCGTGGTGAAGTGCTCTGTAAAATGAGTAATATCAACGTTGAGGCAAAAAGTTTGGAAACGGTACAGCCGCTTAGTTTTCGGGCGCCGAGTCACTTGTAGACCGGAACAATGGGATGAACCAGGACCATCCACTGATGCTGTCAGTGAAGCACGATGTTAATTGACGGAAGTCGTCTCAATGAACTGGAATCAGTTTCCGAGGTGCCAAATGCCGCAAAAGTCCACACACACACACACACACTACTCGAACATCCAAGGTAAGGTGGTGGAAAGAGAGATTCGAGTAGCCGTTTTGTGGTATGTCAGAAGCCCGCCCACTCACCGCTCGGCTCATCTGTCACGCTGACTAATGACATTCCACTAACTCAGCTTCAGATTGGGTGATGAGTACCATCAAGGCTGGGTTCTCAGACGCCAGCAGAGGAGTAGTACCACATGCAGCAACGGGTAGTCGAAAGCTAGGAAGACGCGTCGGACTAACCGAGTATATGGCGAACGCAAGTGCCTTTCGCAGCTGTTGTTCATATGACCGGTTTTGGTGACATTGAGCTTAGTCAGTGTCGGAAAATGTAGTACGAACATTGGCCTGGGAAAAACACTGTGCTAACATTGGTCGATGCAGTTAGAAAGTGAAGTCACCATTCCTCTGTGACATATGACTAGCAGGAAATCTCCAAGGCTGTACTTCTGATCGAGTGACTTAGCGATGAATAACGATCCGGACACCAAGGTGCTACCCATATCGATTTAATCATGATACTACTAATAATAATTCACAAGAAATGCACACAAAAAATCATCAGATAGATTGGTTTAATTAAAAGAAACTGAACGCGAAGGCGCCAAAATTCGTAACCGCATCATGCAAGAAGACAACAAACATCAGTTCTACTCTGTTCTCGGGGAGTTGCCATGCCATTAGCTCACCACTTCAGTTGCATCAAACCATAAGCGGTATTGGTGTATATCGAGGAGCTCGGTTAACAGGCACACGAAAAACATGGTGCAGCCAGGGTGGTTGGTTCGAGTTCTATCATACATTCCAAGGCAGCAATAGCGGGCCAATTGTCAAACATCAGATGACGAACCAGTGGTATGCCTTGGACAGGCAGGGCAAAACTTGTAGGCGTCGATAGTCCAATAGGGACAGTCTTTGGACGATCTCAGTGCATAGTGGCAAGGTGGTTGATTCATGTAGTGGCAATGATGTCAGTGTACCGTTCTAAACCTTTTCTTCATCCACAAAATACGCACCTTGCCACCTCGAAAAGTCGCATGGACCTTATCCATGTTTACAAAAAGTGTTGTGATGAGGTGATCACCGGGGAGATACAGATACATTGATAAGTTAGTCGATCGACTAATTCGTGGGGCTGTTTGGTGATTTTGAGAAGTGTTGGTCTTCTGATGCGGCCCTGTGCGAAAGGAGCTACCAAAGGACGCAGCGCTCCGCGCTTGTATTCATAAGTGTATAGCAGCTGAGTTCGACAACAGAAGAGCTGTCATTCACTCACTCCACGTTTGACAGTCGCTCAATGAGGATAATCCCTAGCCCGGTAGTGGAGGGCGAAAAAAATGAGCAATCCTGACGCATTGCCCTTGCCATGATGAACTCAAAAAGTTTTCCGCACACGCTATACGCAACCAAGGGAGTCGCAGTGAACGGACCCTAGAATAGGGAATTACTTCGAGATGAAGCATTCAAAGTTAAGCATGGTTACAAACAGATGCGAGAAAGCAACCTTCAAGCCAAATGGTGCCAACAGGGAAGTCATTTATGACGGAGAACAAAACACATTAGCAGCACGCCCACACCTCGTATCACTATTCGCTGTCATACGACCACCACAGGTCGCCCGCAGCTACGCTGAATTGAACCGGTGACCTCCAGAGTACAACACAGGCGTGCAATCTTTTCAGCCACTGGACGTTAGACCGCAGACCACTGGTGACGACGGCACACAAACAAGATAGAGACTGTGCTTTACAATTCTGTCGACTTTTAGCAGTAGAAAAGCACATGTGTGTATATCCCCTTGTCGAGAGAGAGCCGGATGCCTCAGACACGACGAGTAGTCAACACAGATATGAGGCAACGTAGCTGGGTATTCGTGAGAATGCTCCCGCAGTGGTGTGTGTGGATCGGAGATAATACGAGAGTTAATCGCAAGCGAGCGGAGATTGATAGAGTTGCGCACTGCTTTAGCTCGCGAAGCGTATGAACGCTGAATGACGTAGCACTCACTTGGGTCTTCGGTTTGGTAGTTGACACGATCAGCAAACTCAGGAATTATCACCTAACAGTTGGAGTAAAATACGGGAAAAGAAGGGGTGACAAACACAGAGAAAGTAGACCACCCCGGATTTTCGCAGTGTGATGGTATTATCAGGTACTCGTGGACGTCAAGATACTGTTCGAGCACTCTCATTTCTAATATGTAGTCAAGGCAATGGGAGAAGAAGGTTCTGTTCGAAAATGCAACTGAAAAGTCTGGTACAGGTGATCTGGAGGCCGGTTGCACGTATCGCCATTAAGTCTACAACACGTCTTCTAAGAGTGCAACTTGGATCTACAGGTGTGTTGCAGCTTAAGAGGAATGGGGCATAAAATTGCAACGAAGGAACAGAACTTAGCGTCTGACCAACGGAGAAACAAACTAATGAGAAGGACCTTCGCAAAAGAGAGGAAGAACTTCGACGTCCGGAAGTGGGCAGCGGAAAAGAAGCATTAAGCTGGTTAGATGACCGGAGAGCAATTTCAGCTGAAATAGAGATCATTTTCGGATGAAATAGTTCAAAAGTGGTCAACATTGTATACATTCTTAACGTTCCCAATGTTTTGTTAAATAAGTTGTCACAACGAAAAGGTCGTCCAATTTTGCAATTCTTGTTCACTTTGCGCTGCAGCTCTTGTCGTGGATAAAGCAGAGAACATGTGCCTCGGCTCAAACCGAGAAGAATAAATATGCGGGTCGGTGATCAAACGTTCGTCATCTCCGTGAGTCAACAGCAAAGTACTCGGCCATGAGAAATCAACTGTCCTGTAATTACTCGTATTCCAGTAATGATACAGAAGACTAAGTCGATGACTCCTGTGCTCGAAACTAAACATTTATTGGGCTTCACCCAGAAGACTGCTTCTCGCTTTACCAAAAAATAGACAGTAGTACTAGTATGAGAAAATAGCCTCGCAATACCACATGCACTGCATTATTCAGTGGAGCGTATTTGCAGTGAACAGCAAGTCCCTGCTGACCTGAAGGACTCGTTTGTGCTACCATTGCACAGGGGTAGAGAAAGCAAATGGTGTCAACAATTATCGTGGCATCAACTTGCTAATTTGCTTCGAGAAGGTGATTACAAGAATTCTGCTCAATCGCCTTGGTATTCATGTCTTGGAAGGAAACGTGGCCGAAGAGCAGTGTGGCTTTCGTTTGGGCCGCAGTACATTCGATATAGTGGCCGTAGCTAGTCAGCTGTAAGAAAAGTGACACAGACAGAACCAACACTTGTACACTCTGTTCCTCGACTTCACTAAGGCTTCTGACATGGTGAAGCATGAGGCGCTCCGGGTGGTGTTGTGTAAGTTCTGTTGCCCAGGCAAGTTGGCTCGTTTAATTGGATGCCTTCACAATGGTATGCAGGGGACTTTGAGGTTGTCTATGGCGTGAAGCAGGGCTGTCTTAGCTCCCTTTGCTTGATTTTCACCTTACAACCATGGTGAACTGCAGCTTTAATGACGTGAATCAGTGTCCAGAGCAGTGCTTCGATGGTGGGTTGTTGAACATCTATCATTTCGCAGTGAGGACCCTAATGTGCGAGACAATCATCCGGATGCTGTTGTTTGCCGAGGATTGTGCGTTGTTCACACACAGCGAGGATGATTTGCAACGTATGGTGATGGCTATCGCTACGACGGGAGCCAAGCTCGGACATGCCAGCAAGACTGCATGTCATTCTCAGCCATCATCTAGTTGAGTTCGTGTGTTGCCAATAAATCAAAATTGCCGGTGAAGCTGTGAAGAAATCATCAAACATCTGTCTTAGGAGCATGCTGTCAGCTGACTTGCAGATGACCAGACAGCTGCGCATCAACGTATCGAAGGTTTGTATGGTTTCTGGTAAACTAGAACATCGGCTGTGGAGGTGGTAGCAGTTGACATTTGGCACGTAGCTGTCGGTACGATAGTGGAACGTGGTCGCTATACGGGACCGACATTCGACATGTGGAGCGATTTTATCAGCTATCCCTGTGTCGGATTCTGCACAAGCATTGTGATGTGATAGAGTGCCGCACATGGAAGTGCTCCACCGGAGCAGCATGAACGAAATGGATTGCATACTGCCGCTGCGACACCTCAAGTGGTTCGCACATGTCTGCCGTATGAATGCGACTAGAATATCGAAACACTTGTTATATGACCAGCTTAGTATAGGGAAACGGAAAATGGGCAGAGTGAAGTTACGTTATCGGAACATGATCAAGGCGAGTCTTTCACCAACTAATACAGACTTTAGGTGTTGACAAATAATGGCAGTAGATCATCGCCAATGGCGTGACTACATCAAGAATACCGTTTATCAGCTGTACGAGTAAGGAATGTTGCGACAAGAGTAAAATCGCCGGTTACGCAAGTCAGGTGTTGACAAGGCCCAGTCATTCGATGTCACGCAGCCGGTGCCGTAGCCATGATGATATGGCGAGTGAACAACGTGACTAAGAGAGGCCAATAGTGTCAGCGTAGCGTAACTACTCGGTTGCCGGTTCCATTTACTAACCCAGGCTAATAATGCGGAAAATGTGGCCCGTGGACCTCATCTTCACTGGAGTCAGTATGCAGATGTGCTTGCGAGTTTGTGTTATTGCATGTTTGGCAGCATTTGCTGATTGATTTCCCAGGTTTGGTTGCATTCGATGAGAATGCCGACATGGGGTCTACCTGTTGAAAATCGCCACCTTGATTACCGGCCCCAAGAGCCAGTTGATTGCTTCTGGAGGTGTTGGGGTGCATGGACTTTGTGACAGTGCTAGGCTCAAAGCGTGATTTCATCTATCGTGAAATGACTGCAGCCCAGCCACCGCTTGTGTGGGTCTGATATGCATGTTCAAATAAACGACATGTACGTTGAAGATCGGGTCGGACTCAATCGTGGATCCCATCCACCTGCCTCTCAGTGTCATCCTCTCGGGTTCAGATTTGATATGAGATGTGTGGATGGAGTTGTGGGTGGTGCAGCACAAGCCATCTATGGTTACTCTGTAGACCCAGGCGTCCTGTGGATGTTCGAGGTCACAGTGACAGACAAATCCGGAAATGAAAGCAGCCAAACGTAGCCTCCAAAGGAGGCTTGTTGTGCGGAAAGTTTCATTGCGTAGTGACAAGGGGCGGATCCGGTGATCGCAATGTAGACGTCGCACGATACAAGCTTGGTAAGCAGCAAAACCTCCAGGCAAACGAGAAAAAGCGGATAGCGGAAATGAAGAAGACAGCTGGTTAGCGACCACACTCGCAAACTACAATGTGATCGATTGGGTAGTGAGTTGGAGGACTAACGACTTCAAGGGTGCTAGCCAAGGAGAAACACGAGGAAAAAATCCAGACGGCAGGTAAGTCGATCAAAACACTTAATCTAGGATGCATTTAAGACGAAGACGAGTCAATACATCACGAAGAAGGCGTCAAGCAACTGGTGTGTAAACAGTTTGTCAAGCAATAGAACAAATGGCAAACAACCAGACCAGTAATGGTTGGCCAACTGACCGTAAAACTGGCCGAAACAGGCTGCAACTTGGGTGTGTTCTTTCAGCACGCGATTCGTGAGAGTAGCCAGACATGAGAACGACGAATCCACCACGACTCGACCTTGACGTTGGATCAATCGGATGAGATCACGCTGCAACTCGGGTAGCTTGATGTGGCTGGGTGAAGAGAAAGATAGGGGAGTCGTCTTCAGTAATAAGAACAACAGAGAATTCGAATAATTCACGTAATATATATTTGTATATATATATATATCATGGTATGGCGGCATCCGTATCCGGATTTGCCTGTCCCTGTGGCCTCCATGGGAACAGCAATGGACGCCTGCGCCTACAAAGTGGACCATGGCTTGTGCTGCACCACCCACAGTTGCAACCACACACCTCATATCCAGTGTAAACCCGAAGGAATAAGACCGAGAGGCATGTGGATGGGAGCCACCTTTTATCAACGGAGCCGGCCCACACTCCTTCAACAAGCAGATCAGAAGCATGCCGGCCTAGTTTGAAAATCATGCACACCAGACGTACACAAAGCGGTGGCTGGACTGTAGCCCATTACACACAGGATGGAACCACTCTTTGAACCTAGCACCGTCCCGAGGACGGTGTACCCAGTCCCCTCCAGCAAAGACCAATTGTCTCCTGGAGCCAGCTATCATAGCGGAGGGTATCAGCCAGGTAGGTACTCTGTCAGCATTCACATCAGGTGCAGCCATACCGGTGAGCTCAAACAACATATACTTCTGAAATACAAGATTACTCATCACGCAGGCAAACGTACCACATACGCCGCCTTATTGGCCTGGATTAGTAAATCGAATGGGGGCGTACGCATAGTAATTCTATTCCGCATGCAATAGTGCATTCTCCTGCACCTGGGCAACCGCCGTTTTGATCAGTCCACGGAATTCGCATCGATCAACTTTGACTTGGATTCGCGACACCTGAAATCAGAATTAGTCTGTCATAAACTCACCCTGTTTATGTCCTAGTAATGTTCTTTACGGTTTGCCCCAGTGCCGCATCCCTGCACTAAGTTGGCCGCACAAAAGCGGTATGAGTATCCCCGTCGAATTCATTCGGTATACATATATACATGGATTGGTGTCATCCGTGTCCAATGGCAATTCGAATGCAATATATGCACATGCGCTTGTCCAGACTTAAATATGAATAACCACAAACTGGATAGAGATACATTAGACCTTATGATCAATGGTACCAACAACGTGTATGGGTATCGTTTGGAGGTCAGGCTAACAGGCAATTGCACAGGCATGAGAACAAGTACCCAATACGAACTGTTGATGTTTTCTTCAACATTTACACGTGACAGCCCTAAATCTTGGGCATCCATATTTGAACGAAGCCGATATAGGAATAGGGACGCAATTGTCATCATTAAGGTTATCAGGTAGAATGATTAATACACACGTGGTACAGTAAAATAGTGTGTGCTTAAGTGTCGCTTCCTATATGCACAGTCTGGTTTACGTAGTTGATGTGAGAGATCGCACAGGGTGTGAATGCGATTGGGTGTTCACTTCACTCACACTGTCGCCGATGGGTCTGATCATCTGCTATCCGAGGTACGTTTGTTGCGCAACCTTAAGCACTGACAGGTGTCAATACCACATATTCGCCGCTTACGGCCTCGTTGGAGAGACAACTACCGACATTCTACATAAACTAAGTACCGCTGTTCACTGAGAAGCATGCGGTTTTCTAAACAGTGTGCGCACTGTTTTGCAAATGTTCAAGACGTAGTACGACTGTCATCCAAGTACTCGACCGTTTGTACATACCACTGTGTACTCTGCTGTGGCCATAAGCTATCTGATAACGATCTCCATCGTACGTCTCGGGTGCAGCCATTCAGTGCTCCTAAAACGATTGTCGCTATGCGCCGATTCATTTCCGATGTAATATACTAAGACACTGACGTACCATTACCATTGACATTACCTTTTTCTTAGTCTATCCAGAAGATTGGCCATGTCCAATTCAACTTCTGGTTAGCGTCTCTGATAATACGAAGAGGAAGATGCCGTCCCTCACCGTCTCGGTATGTCATCGTACTAGACTCCATGTGAGAAGGCAGCAAGGGTGTCATGATGAGTACAACAGTGTAGTGGGCAACACGTGAAATAATCGCGAAATACAACCGAGTAAGGTAAGCCCAATAAAAGTAGGTGAGATGTTACTCATCCGTTCTAGACAGGTGCAATAAATGTACTATTTTGCACCAAGTCAGTGGATAATCATGCTGGAGTGACATTGTGCCCAAGCGCGACTTACATTCGCGATAGAATAAGAATGACACAAAGAAGATGACGAAAATGGAGCAAGCAACTTTACAAGTTAGCACGGAAATGGTGCGAAAAGTCCACTGATTTTTATAAGCTCAGCTAAGTTCAAGTCCGCGGTGAAAGAACGGGAATTATGCTCACTTTAACGAATAAGTAGAATCATGGTGGAACAATGATGGCCTATCGTTGGTCTATGCTGTGAATGCCATCTCCTATATTAACTGCAGGCTCTCCGTGTCGTAAGATAAACCAGAGCCGGTTATGATCGTCTCTCGTACGAGGTGCGCGAGAAGTAACATTATATATATATATATATATATATATATATATATATATATATGTTCTAAACACTTGATCAATTCACAATTGGCAGTGTTAAGACACATGGGTAACAGTAAAGACGGGAGAAGAAGCAATCAGAAGAGAGAGTCGCAACACGCTCGCCATTGGGTACGACCCTAGATCACATACGCTAGCGTGTCCAACCAAGTATTCGCTGTAGTTGGCATCCTAACGCGGGAGTCAGGGAGATTTCATCGCAGCCAACGGTTTTGTCAGCACATTGACACCCCGGACCTAGGTTGCGTGTTGGCCACCTTTTTGTCCCTTCTAATCAGCAAGTGTGCATGCAAAGAGAAGGCAGTGCAGAAACAGCTGAACAAGCACACGAAGCACATGGCAGAGGCACCGGAAAGTGAGCAGGAAAACTTCGCGGCTCAGCACTCGGCACAGACTGTTTGACTTAAAAATCCGGCGACGGGTGCCATCATAATTAATGCGATGTTCCCAACCTTTCCCACCGATACTTGGGAAGAAGCGGTGATCAAAGACAGACTGTTCATAGACATTGATCGTGCGAACGGATGAGGTTTCGCGGTTGTAGGGGAGCACAGTTCAAATCGTAGCGTTGAAGATAGCGTTCCAAGTGTAAGTTGTGATCAGGCCGGCGTCAGAGGTGTTGGAAGTGGACAGTGGCTACTCAGATTTGGAGATGCGCAAACTGATCCCATCCGTTATTCCGTTCAAACTAATGCAACTCCCAAGGTAAAAAAAACTTGTCGAATATTTGCAGAGAGCAATCGGAGAGTAGAAGCAGCTTCTAGCAAGTATAACAGGAAAAGCTTGCAATTCGGAAGAGCAGAGGCCTATTGAATGAGCACAGACGAGGCACAGCACCTGAACCAGGGAGCTGCATTCAAAAATGAGCCCGAATGGAAGGTTATCTGAGGGAATCCTTCACATGGCTTTGAGATGAAAACGAACAGGCGCAAGCAAGTAATGAAAGTGCATCATCAGAATGAGGAGAGGGTAAGGACAAGCACCCTGGAATAGTGAGAGAAAAGTTTGGAAGACGAAAAGCAAATCGGAGGAAAAATTAGCCGCAAGCTAAAGGGATGATAAGGATTGAGTCCGTGTTCGTCAAGGAAATATAAAGATAAGATTTACAGTGGTAGAGTTTATCCGTAGGCATCAAACGCTTTCTAAACTTGAGGAGGAGTAATGTGTCTCATGATGATGATGATGGCGAGAACAAGGCTGCTAGGTTAGCCGATAGGAAGGGTAGAGAAACCGAGCAATTCTACTGCTGTGTGGCGTCTGTTGTCAAATCAAGTGCCGCGCTAATACACGATATCAAAGTAGTCAGAGGAGATGTGTGTCGAGCAAGCACAGCACGTGACATATTGCGAACGAAACGCCGAATCGGTGCACGGTTCGGTGTGAGGGCAGTGAGTGTAGTCGAAAATTACAACTGGCACGTGCGCACATGAAACTACGGATCACAGAGTAAAACAGCCGGATCGATACGTGGTAGTTCTATACAAGGAGACCCAACAACCGCAAATAATGTATGAAATGGAGGCAAATCGGACGAAAACAACCCAACCTCTAAGCAGAATGCATTGAGTAATGAAATGCCAAGAGAAGGTGGTCAAAGGAGAAAAAGCTGAAAGGACTACAGGACTCACATTAGCCGATCGAGGAATGAATCGGTGGCATGTGGACCTTTATTGTCTATGTCTTCGGCGACCGACTGCAGAAGCACTTCGGTTGTATTGATCAAATGAAACAGACATTGAACGTCCATGCCAGAAGACACTTCATTCCGTGGTGTACCCGAGGACACCGAAGTAGCCGAGCTAAGCACGGGTGTAGTGGGAGCCTTGTGTAACAAGTCCAGCAAAAAGTCCAAATGTTCGATAAACAGACTGGGTGTGCAACGGCTAATCAAATGCAGGCTCGCCAGAACAGATTGCAAATTGGGCGGAGGGAGCGAAGAGGATGATAATTGCTTTCGCTGCTTGGTAGGGTGCTTCACAGAGAAGGGGGCTGTAGAAAAAGCAAGCAAATAGTGCGGTGATGACGAGGTCACCCATCTGAATGTGATGAATCTATGCGAAGGAACAACCAAAGATACAGGATATGTCGGGGGACAAACATAGCGTCAAATTTCTAGGCAGGACCACAAGTTTCAGCAAGTCTCACCTAGGCAACGCGGAAAGTGAAAAAATGCACGAAAACACCAAATGAATCTCACACAGCACAGAGATCCCTACAACTAAAAGGTTTACCAAGAAAAATGCGACACCGGTCCCCATGGGTTACCTTATACAAGCGGATGAAAAAGAGAAGGAATCAATTAGTCCAAACCAAAGTTAGATGGATTTAGCACTTTGGCAGTGCTTCAGCCTCGTTCACACACTGTCCAATAATGCTGGCAACGCAGACATTTGGTGAAACGACTACTTACGGTCGGCATTTAGTGAAAGGAATGTACTAGAGAAAAGTTTTAGTACACACACATGGGTGTAGGAGTGGACACTAATGAGAGGCCGCATGATATACCACTCGTTGGCATGTGATATAATCGAAGAAAGTAGTCAATGAGCCAACTCCAAATGATCAGTGTTAAATGCTAATCCGAGCAGAGGACATGGGTACCTAGGAATGATGAAGACAGATTTTTGGGTGAAATGGAGGGCTGGATCCATTGGTTACGCGTCATAATTAGATGTAAGAAGTAGGAATGGTGTGGAATGAATTCATATAATTCGAGAACAAACAGATGTAAGCTAGAAATGCACTAAATTCGTCGAATTTCCCAAAATACGGGGAGTAACGAAGTTAGTGACGGTTTGCCTTACTCACAAGAACGTGAATAATTGCGTGGATGAGTTTTGGACAGAGGCAGGTCATTTCCATATAGTATTTGCCTAACATTACCGGATGTGCAGCTACATCTATGTCACGACGATGTTGGTGAGCATTCCCGATATTTTATGTGGGCAAAGCGTACGTCCAGGAATTTCTGAAATTATGATACCGGCTTTGCCTCGACTACGTGTGGTGGCAGGTTGATCCATACGTTTACCACCCTCCGTTCGAAACAGAGTTGGTGGGCAACACACTTCAAATCCGGTACTACAAGCTTGTACCGGTGATGTCCTCGTGTGCTGCTTGGTGTGCACATTTGCAGCAGCAGCCTCAACATGGGGTAATCATAAAGATGTTATATCCGGTGCATCATGATGAGGTCAACTTGAAGTTGACGATAAGACAAGGTGTAAAGCCCTAGTCGTTGTACGACACACCACGTAAAATGGGGATGAGCCTGGTGGCCACATGCTTTACACATTCAGACCTTTCTACCCCGGTGCGGGTGAGAGGACAGTATGCAGGTGAACCTCTATCGCCTTGGCTACCGGGTCAAGATCATGGTTATAGCGGAAGACTAGAGAAACGTGAAGATTTACAACGAGGCTTATAAGACAAACGGTTTAAAGTAGAAATAACTCAGTACCGTGCGGGGGTCGATCGAGCCAGTTAAGAGAGGCTATTGCGTGGCGTGAAAAGTGGGCAAACGGTGACATCACGAGAACAAGAAGGGTATGTGACATCACAAAAAATACCAAAAGCACAGTGTCAACGAAAAAAAATCGCAAATATCATCAACTACAGCAGACCAGTACTTTGCAATGATGCTGTGATATCATAAGGCTTTAAGGGTCATATTAAGGAATAATAAAGAGAGGCAATAACGATACGACGACCCACTACTACGGGACCACCACCAGTCGCACGTAGGCTAATTATAGTGCAGGGTCACCTGCATATATGCCGATTCGAACCAGTTATCTTCAGACTACAACGCACGCGCTTTATTGTTTCGGTCACCAACCGACTAATAAGCATTCATGATCAAAATGAAACACGACACTGGAGGATGGACCGCGCTATATCGCAGTTAGAAATCAGGCATGGCGGTCCGCCACTATCACACATAGCTTAGTGGCATAAGTCGCTGAGTCGCAGGAGTAAGGTCATGAGTTCGGATCCATCGGATGCGCGACACTGACTAGTTTCAATAGGATGTAACGGCCGAGTAGGGCGTTTCTGTATCTATGGTGTCTGTCCGGCTGATCCCAGTTGCGACGAATCCTCCCAAAAACATAATAAACTTACCTACTACTCTCCAATAAGGTGAACACAACTTGCTGACACTACACGGTTGCAGACGATTGGCTAATGTGCGAGGGTAAGACGGAGACGGCGAAAGATTCCTGGGGCCTTTGCTGCCTTGGGTCATAATCAAACATGCACCACCAATAATTCAGCATCAGCTACAGACAGTTAGGCCCCAGGACGACCACAAACAGGCTACTGGTGCCGATCGCAAGTCATGCCCCCTAATGTATCGAGCCAAAATGGAGTAGCTCGCCTGGACCCCGATTTGGAAAGTGAGGCGACCCAACAGCACCCAGTTTGGTCGTCAACGACTTCATTTTCTGCTGACAAGTCAACGATTGATTGGCTCAAGACATCCGAAATCTGACAAACGAAATTATGTCTCCCCGCGTAGGCGGTGGTCTGGTGTAAGTGGCACATGTCTAAGGCAGTGCAATTCATTCGGTCATATTGGTTGGGCTAAGGAAACAAACCAATCATTGTCGCAGTGCTGATTCGTTGTGAACAAGCGGGTGTCAACCGACACAGGCGACGTTCAGCAGATAACTACGGTCAGAGGTAAACGGTGACAGCAGTGCACCAGTATTTCGGGCAGATGCTTCGTTGTCACAAGGCCAACAGCAGTGGTTTTATGCGGGCTGGGATATTGAGCCAGTCACTCGCAGCCACTCAAGTTCGGACCGGTGAATCGTAGACTATAAGCCAAGTGTATAAACCAATCAGCCACCGGTCGGGAAGAACGATAAAAAGCCCGAAGGCCCTTAAAATCATCAGATGGGGTAGCAAATGAATAAAAAACACGACTTCGGAAGAGCCCCTATTGGAAGAGGAGTTTAATCAGCAATTGGTGAACCATGAGCAGATACTTACTGGACAGACGCCCAATCAGCTTTATCTGGTGTCTGCTAAGCTGACGGCAGGCGCGATCCAGTTGTTCGCGTTTGGTAGGATCATCAGTGGCCAGAATCTATACAGGTGGAGTGGAAAAAAGAGTATAACCAACAGCTGCAGAGGCAAAAAAGTGATGCATGGAAATAAATCGAAAAAGTGGGGTAGTGATGAGACGGCTAACAAGAGGCAGCTGCTCAATCAGAAGTGTGGGGGCTGGGTATTTTCGAAGGCGAACCGTCACCGCCCGTCAAACGGCAGTCACTGCCGCGGAAGGACCAGCGGATGTGAGTGAAAGTACAGTCATATAAGCGCCTAGTCTTGGGCAAAGGCCATCCACTAAAAGTTTGCAATCGAAACATGCGGAGATGTAGTTAATGCTAACCAAGGATATGGGAAGCAAGCATATTTACGACTAGAAAAGTTCGTAACCGTTGAGCAAGGAGGCCTACACGACGCGCGATACCATAAAAACCAACAGTAAGAAAAGCAAAAGAACGGTAGCGATTTAAGTTTAGATCAAAAATGAGGACGAATTAAGTCACAACACTGAGCATCGACAAGGGGAGATAAAACAAAAGTGTAAAGCGATTGGTGGACTGCAGGATGCTCGAATGATCGAAAGGAAACGAGGACTGACAGTAAGAAATGTAAGTGAAAAGGTAACACAGGTCGGAGGTCACCGGTTCGAATCTGGGCAGAAGCAAGTGACTGCAATATCCCCAGCCTGTGTGCGACGTGGAGGTCGAGTTGTAGCGAATCTCCGGTACGGTGTACTGCAGATGCTTTTATAGTCCCAATAATGTTACTCGTTACCGTGACAGCTTAGTGGGGACATAATACTAAAGTGATTGGACCCAAGGTAGGCATTCAGAGGAACAAGCACACCATAGGTTTTGGAAACCGTTGAGTGTTCCTTAATTGGGACACCAGCTGTCTGCCTTGACTGGCCGTTCAATCGAGCGTAACCTAAAAGTCATAAACCCTTTGATCCGAAAGTCCCAAGCAATTGTTGTGTAGTAACTGGCAGTAAAAATACAACAAAGATGCAGTCGTAAAACAAATTCCCTAGTGAGGGAGTAAGTGACCGATCCCATGGATGGAAATAGGAGAAAAGATGAATACGGCATTCCCATATGAAGTAGCACAAAAACCGGTGCATTATAAAGGCAGTGAAAGAACGGTTCGCATAGATGTGAATGCGTTTGGATTTGGTCTTGTTGTTGACACGCGGTATTGATGTGGTTGGCAAATTCCAGTGACTACAGTTTGCACTCCTAAACTAATAATGGTTAGAGGTGATCGATCAACGGTACATCACGTGGAACGCGATAATAAAACATTCCGTATGCAACAAGGATGGACAAAAATGGGAAAACATAAAATGCACAAGAGACGTGCACGAAACATGAGGCAAAAATGGGGGGAATTCTTCTAAAAAAACTTATCGTTTCCCGGAAATAGCAACTATAGATATTTTTGGCTCACTCCCTGCTACAGATACACACGCATCCCAGCGTTACACTAATGTCGGGAAAAGTTCAGCATAAAAGCGTTTGTTAGTACATCTGAAACTGTTTAGAATAGCTCGTTTTACTTCACAATCCTTGTGAAATTGTTAACTCCAAACAAGTGGAAATCACTTAGCATTTAGCCAAGACTATGAGGAGAACGCGATGATGCGACCAGGAAAATACCCGACTTTCATGTCACAAGAGACTTTCGATTCATTGCGGACTTCAACTCGTCTGTGCTGGTCAAAAGCGGAAAGTATCTTTGGAACTAAATAAATAAATGGGGATATTTCCCGACGAGCGGGATATGTTCCATTTTGTGGAACGACCATTTGTATAGCGAGTTTCGTCATTATTTCATGTATAAACTCGATTCAATGTGGACGGATTATACAATGTTTTGCGTATGCAAGTAGTAACATTATTTGACAGTCCATATTGTCATATGTTGTTCGGGCCCGATTTCATTAGCGCGCTGGTGGGCTGCTGAAGGTCGAAAATTTCGAGCACATTCGTTTTAAAAATGGACAGGCTCTCGTAGAACCTTAATTGCAACGGTAGTTTATTCCATAGATGGGCGTATCACACCATACTTGGTCCTCTGTAAGGATATTTGACATTTCCCATTACGAGTGGGATAGGTTGAGCTTTTATGTAATGCGACGGTCGTACAGGTTAAGCAAACTCTCGGGTATATTGTGCTGTGGAGAAGAGTGAGATTGATTTTCAGCCGTCGAAGCCAGAGTGTATCGAGCTGGAGGTGAGAACATCGCTCCTCATAGGTAAGCGATGGTGAGCTCCCCATGACCATTTTGGTACATGAGCGCTAGACGTATTCGAAAGCAATGAACAGTGCCATCGTGGAGTAGTTGTTCCTAATTGGATATGAAATCCGACCAGCCGACTCATTCAGTCTTCTACACTGCGCCCAACAGGTACTCCGAAATGCTTAGGAAACATCTCCTGAGGACGGATGAGGCTATTGCCATTAGAGTGATGCAGCCGGAGTTGTGCACTCACCTTTGTTTGCCATGGCCAAGGGACTTCGCAATCTAGCTCACATCTGGTGGGAACACCGAGTAAGCAACGGGCGTGTTCGACACCTTGTTTACGGCACAGGAAAAGGAAAGGAACCGCTGAGCACCGTCATTTCACGCACCAGGCTCCAGTGGCTCGGCCACGTGTTACGCATGCTAGCCCACCAACTCCCGCGACGCGCATTGTTTGCGCGCCGGGGGTGTGAATGAAAGAAGGGGAGGAGTGGACAAGGGATGACTTGGTGAAGAGGAATGAAGGCCCTCACTTCGAAGCTGGCCTCAGTTGGAGCGTCTCTGCTCACTGGTTGGGGTCCGAAAGACGATGAACACGTTTGGCTAGATATGTTTGCTGATATGGCTAGGAGCCGACCTCAATGGCGTTCGTGCTGTGAGTTTCTTTGTCCCCCATCCCTCTTTGCCTCTCCCTCCAATCACGATCTCACTATTTAGCCTTATATAATTTTGCGTAGTATATTTTTTGCTGCATAGTAGCCGGCTGGTAGCTTACTGGAACGATGTCCATTCGTTACCGGTAGCTCAGCCGGCTTGCATCTATTTCATTGTTTCCCGTTCTTATCTTTTATGTATCGCGGCACAGTAGCTGAGGTGTTTCCCACCTCTAGCTAACGTGCATAATGATGATGAAGCCCTCAGCGTCGGACAATGGCAGTGGCCAAGTGCGATCTCCTTCTCGCCATCGGTTGCTGGAACGCCCGTCTTCAACTGATTAACAAAACCTTCGATCGAATGTGGCAACATCGTTCAGTTCGGCCTTCACTGGCATACTGCGTTGTGTTGTTTTTGTATTCTCATAACGGTATTTGCCCGACGAGAAGTATCGAAAAGAATTCTCTTCGCAACCTTTTCTTAATTCTGTCTGTTTTACCTAAGTGGCTATGTATGATGGCGCAATACTCTAGAGTGGGTTGCGCAATGAGTTTGGATGATTCAAATCGTGTTTGAGATAGGGAAAATGACCTAGTGATGTAACTAGTTAGTTGCTTCGCTTTCGCTACTGGATGTAGGATGCGTTCGGATAAATTGAAGCTGCTCGGATATCGAATTCTCAGGTCTCGAACAGAATACGCAGTTGGGATGGAGGTGCGAGTGAGGGTGATGGATCCTTCTGATATACTGCATGCGTGGCAGAGTGAGATTTATCTGCAGAGAACCTCATTGACCTGCTTTCGTTCCATTTGTTTGGGGATGAAAAGTCCTCGCGTATGTCTTTTAGACCTAGTTCCAGATGGTGAGGAAGAAAGGAGTACGCTAGTTTTAGGTCGACCGCAAATACAAATAGGCGGCCGTGTCTAAGGTAATCACATATATGGTTAATATAACTGAGGAAAACAGGGGGCCCAATACACTGCCCTGAACAACACAGCTCGTGATATTTCTGGACGTAGAGCAATATTGATTAATCTGTACTCGTTGTGTTCGGCCGTTGAGATATGATTCGACGCAGCTCAAGAGAGCTCTGTTAATTCCCTATGACTTCAACACTGCAAACAATGGTTTGCGCAGTACACAGTCAAATGCTTTTTGCATACCCAGAAGGATAACGATGATGGCTATGTCGTCATCCAAGGTTGCTGTAACATGATCGAGGAATTGTACTTGGCATGTGACACATGAAGGTTTTGTTGTGAACTGCTGAGTATGTTCTGGCTTGTCAGGAAGTGTGTTACCCGAGTCTTGAGGATTCTCTCTAAGACTTTAGAGGCGGCGGAGGTATGGTTCATCCGTAGATAATTTGACATTCCATCACATGGACTGCCTTTGTGTTTCAGTAAAATTATGAAATTGTTCCCCTGAGGCGGGAAGCAACTAGTATTAAGTGCTAGTGTAAACGCATTCAATATGAGAAGAGATATGTTTTTACCACCTAACCTTATAGCTGCTGGCTGAATACCATCAGGTCTCAGTTGGAAAGTCGCTTTGATGGATGCTATAGTCATTTGTCATTCCTTTAGATTCAGAGGAATGGGATATAATACCACTTGCGTTTTTCTTGAAATGAGAGGAAAGAATACAGATGGTGCAGTAGTAAATGAGGCTGCAAAGTAGGAATTCATCGAGTAACATATTTGGACTATATCGTTTGTCGAAGTACTGTCGTTTAAAAGTAGGCTTGGAATTTCGTGGTGTCCTTTCGGATTTGTTCTTCTGCGGTACTCTCTTATCGGAATAGAAAATGACCCTAAAATAATGTGTTTATTGGTTCAGTGAACAAGTAACCACGTTTGCGCAATCTCATAACATGTAAGCAACGATTATCAACGATAAACTGCTCGACAAGCTGAATATTCCCAGGAATGACAGCTTTGAGCTGCAATTAAACGCGACCGCGAGAGTTAGCGATAGAAGTACGATCATCTTCGAAACGCTCACACTACTCAAATGTCTTATTGCGACTGAGTGCCCAATCAGCAGATTGTCGCCAAAGTCTTTTATAGATTCCAACTGGATGCTGCCACCATCATAAGAAACTTAATCGCAACACGCTGTCCCATGTTCACGGTCAACTT